CTATTTGCACATCATCTCTTGCACATCTATCATTCCAGTGTTAATACTAATTGTAATTATTTTGCACTATAGCCTATTTATTGCCTTACCTCCATAACTTGCTACATTTGCACACACTGTATACAGTGGGGATAAAATGTATTTAGTCAGCCACCAATTGTGCAAGTTCTCCCACTTAAAAAGATGAGAGAGGCCTGTAATTTTCATCATAGGTACACGTCAACTATGACAGACAAAATGAGAAAAAGAAATCCAGAAAATCACATTGTAGGATTTTTAATGAATTTATTTGCAAATTATGGTGGAAAATAAGTATTTGGTCAATAACAAAAAAGTTTCTCAATACTTTGTTATATACCCTTTGTTGGCAATGACACAGGTCAAACGTTTTCTGTAAGTCTTCACAAGGTTTTCACACACTGTTGCTGGTATTTTGGCCCATTCCTCCATGCAGATCTCCTCTAGAGCAGTGATGTTTTGGGGCTGTCGCTGGACAACACGGACTTTCAACTCCCTCCAAAGATTTTCTATGGGGTTGAGATCTGGAGACTGGCTAGGCCACTCCAGGACCTTGAAATGCTTCTTACGAAGCCACTCCTTCATTGCCCGGGCGGTGTGTTTGGGATCATTGTCATGCTGAAAGACCCAGCCACGTTTCATCTTCAATGCCCTTGCTGATGGAAGGAGGTTTTCACTCAAAATCTCACGATACATGGCCCCATTCATTCTTTCCTTTACACGGATCAGTCGTCCTGGTCCCTTTGCATAAAAACAGCCCCAAAGCATGATGTTTCCACCCCCATGCTTCACAGTAGGTATGGTGTTCTTTGGATGCAACTCAGCATTCTTTGTCCTCCAAACACGACGAGTTGAGTTTTTACCAAAAAGTTCTATTTTGGTTTCATCTGACCATATGACATTCTCCCAATCCTCTTCTGGATCATCCAAATGCACTCTAGCAAACTTCAGACGGGCCTGGACATGTACTGGCTTAAGCAGGGGGACACGTCTGGCACTGCAGGATTTGAGTCCCTGGCGGCGTAGTGTGTTACTGATGGTAGGCTTTGTTACTTTGGTCCCAGCTCTCTGCAGGTCATTCACTAGGTCCCCCCGTGTGGTTCTGGGATTTTTGCTCACCGTTCTTGTGATCATTTTGACCCCACGGGGTGAGATCTTGCGTGGAGCCCCAGATCGAGGGAGATTATCAGTGGTCTTGTATGTCTTCCATTTCCTAATAATTGCTCCCACAGTTGATTTCTTCAAACCAAGCTGCTTACCTATTGCAGATTCAGTCTTCCCAGCCTGGTGCAGGTCTACAATTTTGTTTCTGGTGTCCTTTGACAGCTCTTTGGTCTTGGCCATAGTGGAGTTTGGAGTGTGACTATTTGAGGTTGTGGACAGGTGTCTTTTATACTGATAACAAGTTCAAACAGGTGCAATTAATACAGGTAACGAGTGGAGTTACAGGTCTGTGAGAGCCAGAAATCTTGCTTGTTTGTAGGTGACCAAATACTTATTTTCCACCATAGTTTGCAAATAAATTCATTAAAAATCCTACAACGTCTGACCTCTGTGATTGCCAACAAGGGTTTTGCCACCAAGTACTAAGTCATGTTTTGCAGAGGGGTCAAATACTTATTTCCCTCATTAAAATGCAAATCAATTTATAACATTTTTGACATGCGTTTTACTATATTATTTTGTTGTTATTCTGTCTCTCACTGTTCAAATAAACCTACCATTAAAATTATAGACTGATCATGTCTTTGTCAGTGGGCAAACGTACAAAATCAGCAGGGGATCAAATACTTTTTTCCTTCACTGTAAGTATTTTACACCCCTTTGCTATGACACTCCAAATTGAGCTCCGGTGCAAACAATTTCTAGAGTGTTCAAAGTTTCCAAGAGCACAGTGGTCTCCATCATTGGAACTACCCAGACTCTGCCTAGAGCTGGCCGTCCTACCAAACTGAGAAACCGGGCAAGAAGGACCTTGGTCAGGAAGGTAACCAAGAACCCAATGACCACTCTGACAAAACTACAGAGTTCCTTGGCTGAGATGGGACATACTTACATAGGTAGACACAATGTAAGTAACCTAATTTATGTCGCTCTAACTGCCCTGAATGCCTCTGCTGATCCTACAGCTATTGTATGCAGCAATCATGTGTCTATGAACCACATTTATAATAATAATAATAATATGCCATTTAGCAGACGCTTTTATCCAAAGCGACTTACAGTCATGCGTGCATACATTTTTGTGTATGGGTGGTCCCGGGGATCGAACCCACTACCTTGGCGTTACAAGCGCCGTGCTCTACCAGCTGAGCTACAGAGGCGGTGTGCCCTGGTAGGAAGTCCACTGTATGCAGTTCACCCTGCACTAACATAAATAACATGAGAATATCTACTTCTGCTAAGCTTCCCAGTAAAGCAATGAAAACAAGCCAGCATCCCTGAAAAGTGCTCAAAATAGCCCACGTTAACATATGTAGCTTAAGAAACAAGGTTCATTAAATTAATAACTTGCAGTCAACCTACCAGGGTAGTTACAAACAGCACAGGAATGAAATCATCAACATGTATCGATCACATCTTTACTAATGCTGCAGAAATGTGCTTGAAAGCAGTATCCAGATCCATTGGATATAGTGATCACAATATAGTAGCCATATCTAGGAAAACCAAAGTTCCAAAGGCTGGGGCTAATATAGTGTATAAGAGGTCATACAATAAGTTTTGTAGTGATTCCTATGTTGTTGATGTAAATAATATTTGTTGGTTCGTGGTGTGTAATGAGGAGCAAACAGACGTTGCACTTGACACATTTATGAAATTGCTTATCCCAGTTACTAATAAGCATGCACCCATTAAGACAATGACTGTAAAAACTGTTAAATCCCCGTGGATTGATGAGGAATCGAAAAATGGTATGGTAGAGAGGGATGAGGCAAAAGGAATGGCAAATAAATCTGGCTGCACAACCGATTGGCAAACTTACTGCAAATTGAGAAATCATGTGACTAAATAAAGAATGAATAAAAAGAAGAAGAAACTACACTATGAAACAAAGAAAAATGACATAAAGAATGACAGTAAAATGCTTTGGAGCACCTTCAATGAAATATTGGGAAAAAAGGCAAACTCAGCTCCATCATTTGAGTCAATATCACTATGAGGTGCCTTTGGTGTCCTCATCAGACTCACTCAGTCATCATGAAAATGTAGCAGAATAATGAAAGTCTGAGGTCTTATTATAAGTGGCCAAACATTTGCACACATATCAGTAGAATGATAAGTCTCAGAAAAAGTGTTTCCTTCATTTTATTAATTTTTTTTCATTGGATGTACGTGATTTTGGCATGTCCCACACACTGCTCTGCTAACTACAGTGTGTGTAATAAGTGGTTAAATGATACTAAATCCAAACAAATTTTACATGGTTTTACTGTCCACAATAAGTTATTTGATAAAACAAGTAATTTTGATCATGTATATTGTATTTTCATAATCATATTGAACATTTTGCATGTGTCCCTGAAATTGCTGTCCACCCTGTCATTATGGGGTAACTGCCCCTTTAAGAAACCCACTGATGTTTTCAGTGACATCACTACGAGCATTTTGTCTTTCTTCAATGAAGGCTGAAGCAGTGTCTAGTTGCAGAGTAAGTATTTACACTTATGTTTCATAATTTTCATCATATTATGTGTGTAGTTGGATGTTGTCAAGCTTAACATGTCCACTCTGTCATAGTGAAATATCAATTGATAGAAAAACCTATCAGAACTTTGAAATATATTTGTAAAACAGTACACAGTCAGCTTGCTAACTGTAGTATGTTGCTAAGTGAAGGTCCACCATGTGCTCATTAAATGCTAACATTAGCCAAAAATGTCCACCCTGTCATTGTCCACCCTGTCAGCAAGCCTTCCATGACAGGGTGGACATGGTTCATGACAGGAAGGACATGTGCATAGTTTAGGCCACATACTGATAATGTTACACATATTACAACAGCTATTACACACATTTTATAACAGTACATGCTATACATAGTAAGAATGGACAATATGGACAATTTTTTTGGCGATATCGGTATCAGCAAGCCTAGTTTGATAATGCAAGCCTAGTTTACCGGGACTGCCAATTAAAGTGTGTAAGGGAACATTTTGAATCGTCTTTTTCAAGGAATGAGATCAAAAGGAGCTGAGATAGCAAGGAGATATCGGGAACGTCGTGATGCTGACCCAGACAGAAGAAGAAAGTACCTTGAGAAAGAAAGGGTCAAATGGAAAAAAGACAGAGAGACTGGAAAGAAGAAGGGTGTCAATGAGCTCAGTGAGAGAGAGAAGAGGGCAAAAAGAAAGAAATGGAGAGAGGCAAAAAGTCAAGCCAGAGCCAGAAACAGGGCCAGTGCTTTGCTACAGTCAGAGACACCTCCCAACTCCCCTGCTGAAACTCCTGAAAATCAGCATGAGCCAGGGCCCTCCAGGTTAGATCATTGGAAGTTTAGCTGATGAGACTTATTAGAAAGTTTAGATTTATTTGAAGGACAATTATCAACTGTTTATATCCCCATAAAATGACATATTGATAACTAATATAACCCTACAAGTATGGCTTCAAAGAAATAACGTGGAATTTCTTTGAGGCTAATCATGGGAAGGGGGCACCAGACGGTGTGGGTGGGGCCCTCAAGAGGTCAGCAGACCGGATTGTAGCCCATGGAGGAGACATTCCTGATGCCCAGAGCTTGTATAACAAGCTGAAAAGCCTGGACACATCTGTCGAGCTGTTCTTCATCCCAGAGAGGGATATTGAATCAAAGCCTGAGGTACCTGCAATAGCTGCCATAAAAGGCTCTATGAGAATCCACCAAGCTATCAGTCTGACACCCGGCCAAATGAAATACAGAGACATTTCATGTCTGTGTAAAAGGGAGGAAGGTGTTTTGGACTGCCCCTGCTTTAACCTTCAAGAGGTCACTCTAGCTAATGTTCCTGTTTCATCTGACAAGTCCCCAGCATGTGGAAAGACACCAGATAATCCTAGGAGACCAGAAATGATTGAGGTAAAGCACATTGGAGAGTGGTGCGTCGTTAATTATGACAATGAAGCATACCCAGGTATCATCATGGATGCAGAAGGGCACAGTGTGAAAGTTAAGTGTATGCAACGCCATGGTATAAACAAGTTCAAATGGCCAAGTCTTCGGGACGACATCTGTTGGTACCATGACTGGCAGGTACTTTGCCTAATACCAGAACCACAGGCTCTGAACAAGCGCTCTGTACAGATTGAAGTGTCTGCATGGAAGTATGTGGAACAGAAACTGCAGAACTGAGCCATGTCTCTGCAGAAAGGGAGAGACTGTTTGGAGATGCGTCCAAGTGATCTTTCTGTAATATTCTGTTTTTTCAAATCAACTGTTCTCAACTTAAAAAACATTTTTCTTCTTGTTCTACAGTTGAATGTTTGACTTTCACTGTGCAGAATGATGTACAGAGTTTAACGCTAGAAGGCCACATTAATGTCTCATTTTGGGCATCTTTATTCAGTGGCTGCATGCAGGTAGAGTGGATCAAAAACAGTCTGTTCAACTTGTAATTTCCCCCTACATGGGAAAAGGCATTTTTTACATCATTTTCTTGCATTGTTCCTTGCATTTATGAGGCCATTCAATGACATTTCACAACGCGTCCACCCTGTAATGCCCAGGGTCCACCCTGTCATGTCACTGTCCACCCTGTTATTTTCATGTTCTGTGAAAATAAACAAATTATTTTCACAAGTTAGCAAAATCTTTTGTGTGATTCCTTTATAAACAAATGAGGGCCAAATAGTATTGTTTGAAAGTTTGACCAGATATCTTTTTTGTTAGATTTTATTTAGAAAAGAAAGTGCAACTCTCGCAGATTTTATAGAGAAACAAATAGTTTGCCATAATTTCATTATTATCCAAATACTTTTCCCATAAACTAAAATATATTGTTGAGAAAGTGACTAAATAGTTTTCTGAAAATGTACGTTTTATAATCACTATGTAATTACAATGTATTTATTCTGCTTTGAAATTGTCCAACAGGTGGACTATTTGCTGTTGAGTAATTGTGCTCAGAATAAAAAATGGGAGCTACAATAGATTCAAAGAAAAATCTTAAAGAATGACATGTAAATGCTTTTTTGGGGATGAAATGGGGAAAAAAGGCACTCAACTACATTTATTGAATCAGATGGCTCATTCATTACTGATATTGCCAACTACTTTAATGATTTTTTCATTGGCAAGATTAGCAAACATAGGCATGACATGCCAGCAACAAACACTGACACTACACATCCAAGTATATCTGACCAAATTATGAAAGACAAGAATTGTCATTTGTGTGGAAGAGGTGAAATAATGATTGTTGTCTATCAACAATGACAAGCCACCGGGGTCTGACAATTTGGATAGAAAATTACTGAGGAAAATAGCGGACGATATTGCAACTCCTATTTGCCATATCTTCAATTTAAGCCTACTAGAAAGTGTGTGCCCTCAGGCCTGGAGGGAAGCAAAAGTCATTCTGCTACCTAAGAATAGTAAAGCCCCCTTTACTGGCTCAAATAGCCGACCAATCAGCCTGTTACCAACCCTTTGTAGTTTTGGAAGAAATTGTGTTTAACCAGATACAATGCTATTTTACAGTAAACAAATTGACTTTCAGCACGCTTATAGGGAAGGACATTCAACAAGCACAGTACTTACACAAATGACTGATGATTGGCTGAGAGAAATTGATGATAAAAAGATTGTGGGGGCTGTTTTGTTAGACTTCAGTGCTGCTTTTGACATTATCGATTATAGTCTGCTGCTGGAAAAACATGTGTTATGGCTTTACACCCCCTGTTATACTGTGGATAAAGAGTTACCTGTCTAACAGAACACAGAGGGTGTTATTTAATGGAAGCCTCTCAAACATAATCCAGGTAGAATCAGGAATTCTCCAGGGCAGCTACCCCTTACTTTTTTCAATTATAACTAAGTAAAGAGTGTCTATGTATGCGGATGTCTCAACACTATACACGTCAGCTACTACAGTGACTGAAATTACTGCAACACTTAACAAAGAGCTGCAGTTAGTTTCAGAATGGGTGGCAAGGAATAAGTTAGTCCTAAATATTTAAAAAATTGAAAGCACTGTATTTGGGACAAATCATTCACTAAACCCTAAACCTCAACTAAATCTTGTAATAAAGAATGTGGAAATTGAGCAAGTTGAGGTGACTAAACTGCTTGGAGTAACCCTGGATTGTAAACTGTCATGGTCAAAACATATTGATACAACAGTAGCTAAGATGGGGAGAAGTCTGTCCATATTAAAGCGCTGCTCTTCCTTCTTAACAGTAGCTAAGATGGGGAGAAGTCTGTCCATAATAAAGCGCTGCTCTACCTTCTTAACAGCACTATCAACAAGGAAGGTCCTACAGGCTCTAGTTTTGTCGCACCTGGACTACTGTTCAGTTGTGTGGTCAGGTGCCACAAAGAGGGACTTAGGAAAATTGCAATTGGCTCAGAACAGGGCAACACGGCTGGCCCTTGGATGTACACAGAGAGCAAACATTAATAATATGCATGTCAATCTCTCCTGGCTCAAAGTAGGGGAGAGATTGACTTCATCACTACTTGTATTTGTAAGAGGTATTACATTTTACATTTTACATTTTAGTCGTTTAGCAGACGCTCTTATCCAGAGCGACTTACAGTATTGACATGTTGAAAGCACCGAGCTGTCTGTTTAAATGACTAGCACACAGCTCAGACACCCATGCATACCCCACAAGACATGCCACCAGGTCTCTTCACAGTCCCCAAGTCCAGAACAGACTATGGGAGGCGCACAGTACTACATAGAGCCATGACTACATGGAACTCTATTCCACATCAGGTAACTGATGCAAGCAGCAGAATCAGATTTAAAAACAGAAACACCTTATGGAACACTGGGGACTGTGAAGCAACACAAACATAGGCACAGACACATGCTTCCACACTGTTACGGATACAGGTATCCTGTGTCTTTTTGTGTTTTTCCTCTCCTTCTGCCCTAAACACAGGTGTCCTGTATGTTCCTGATTGGTGGTCGTTGGGGTGTCTGCTGATTGCTGAGGTGGACCAATCAGTGGACATTCCTCTGCATTGCACCACCTGTTTCTGGTTTTTCAATCACACATCCCATTGTTTAAAAGCCAGTCAGTTGTGTTTGTAGAGAGAGACTATTTCCGTATGTGAGTATGGATACTGTGGTGTCCTGTGTACTCACTCATTTGCTGGTTACTCTGTTTGGTAACTTTGTTGTGTGTTTCTGGGAAAAGGGGAATTTAAGCAAGTTGCCCTTGAGCGTACATTACCCGTAGGAAGAAAACTGTCTAAAAACACTAGTTAGACCTGAGCGGACCACCCACTGTAATTTTTGTATGATTAGCAGTAGCTTAGCGGTTCTTGAGGCAGGCAAGATCAGTTTAGGGGTGTTTTACACTATTGTTTCATTTCTTGGGTCCTGCTCAGCCCTTTTTCCCAAACCTTTACCGTGTGTTCAAAAATAAACATTTTATGTTTGACGGTAGTTTATGGTTGTCGTGTAGTTTTTGTTCTCACTGTTCCATGTCACGATTCTAATTTGCATGAATTATGTTACGGGTCTCTTGTCCATCCACCCTAGACGTTTAAAGCCACGGGGTTCGTAACACACACACGATAACATACGCACTATACACACACGTACACATGGATTTTGTGTTGTAGATTTGTGGTAGTGGAGTATGGGCCTGAGGGCACACACTTAGTGTGTTGTGAATTCTGTAATGAATGTATTGTAATGTTATTAAAATTGTATAACTGCCTTAATTTTCCCGGACCCCAGGAACAGTAGCTGATGCCTTGGCAGCAGCTAATGGGGATCCATAATAAATACAAATACAAATGGGAGAACATGCCAGAAAGACAACAGTCTTTACAGCACCAATCTGGGGTTTATGGGAGAGTGGCCAGATGGAACAAGCCACATGACAGCACACCTGGAGTTAGCAAAAAGGCACGTGAAAGACTCTGAGATCATAAGGCAAAAGATTGTGTGGTCTGATGAGACAAATGTTACTCTTTGGCCTGAATGCAAAGCACTATGTCTGGAGAAAACCAGGCAAAGCTCTTCACCCGTAGAACACCATCCCTACAGTGAAGCATGGTGGTGGCAACATCATGCTATGGGCATGCTTTTCAGTGGCAGGAAATGGGAGACTGGTAAGGATAGAGGGAACAATGAATGGAGCCAAATACAGGCAAATACTTGATGAGAACCTGCTTCAAAGTGCAAACAACTTTAGACTGGGATGAAGATTTCCATTCCAACAGGACAATGACCCTAAGCATACAGCCACAGCAATGCTGGAATGGCTTCAGAACAAGAATGTGAAAGTCCTTGAGTGGCCCAGCCAAAGCCCAGACGTGAATCCCATAGAAAATCAGTGGAAAGACTTGAAGATTGTTGTTCACTGCCGCTCCCTATATAACTTAACAAATCTTGAGAAAATCCCCAAAGAGAAAATCCCCAAATTCAGATGTGCAAAGCTGATTCAGACATACCCAAGACGACTCAAAGCTGTAAATTGCCTCTAAAGGTGCTTCTACAAAGCATTAACTCAGGGGTGTGAATACTTATGTAAATTAGATTTCTGTATTTTACTTTCACTAAATTTGCAAAAATGTCTAAAAACATGTTTTTTTTAGTCAGTGATTATGGGGTAGTGTGTGTAGATGGGTGAGAGAAAAATATCAATGTATTCAAATTTGAACTCAGGCTGTAACACAACAAAATGAATAAGTGAAGGGGTATGACTACTTTCTGAAGGCACTGTACATATGGTAATATGTGACATACTTTCTTTGGGTGAGCAGGGCGATTTCAGTCTGCACTTTAAGGTACTCCTGGGCCATTCTGCAGTGCTGCTCAAACACAGCCATGGACTCTTTGGAGTTAGAGAACGGGGCCAGGGGCTAAACACAACCCAGAAACACACATCACCATCATGCACTTACAATTTGTCACATCGTTCTTATGTAATGTACAGTACTTAACTTTTTTAACATATTTCAAGTAGAGGACACATGAAATCCAAAAAAGGTAGTAAGTAGGCTTTTAGATAGTATGTCAAACGTGGCTGATTGGTTATCAGTATCAATAGTATTTAGTATCAGTCAGCGTTGAGGATGAATGGAGAAATAACTCCCCATTCCTACAGTACCTGCAGCTGGTGATCCAGTGTCAGATAAGCCATGGGGATGGAGCTGTCCAAGCCATTCATATCTGAGGACATAGAAAACGTACTGGTAAGCATAAAATGTATACTGTATGTTGTACGGTACTGCCCCCTGGTGAACACTGCAGTGACATATTGTGTCAGACATAAAGTAGTTTCCGGTCATTTAACATCTTTGGTAAGCTGGCTCTATTGTGACAACCAATACTAAATAGGGCCCATACCTGTGGGACTGATAGGCACCCTCAGCTCTAGCCCCGATTGGTCAGCACATTGCCCTTTGAACTCAGTGGGGGCAGGACTCTGGGTACGCTCACGCTCAGGCAGGCTTTCCACACTAGCCCTTCTGGACAAGGGCAGGCTGGGGCGTAATGTACCCCCCTGAAAAGGAACATGAACAGCATGAACATTGGTATGGATGGGATAACTTATTACTCCAACTATAACTGCATTACCTTTGATGGTTTGAACTGAAGTGGAAATCTAGCTTCAGTGATTTTCAGGGTGTCATCTCTCCCTTGACAGTTTGTTCCGTGTTCCATGTTGCTTTCAGTTCTGTAGCTGTTGATAGTGTTGTCTGCATAGGAACCTACAGAAGAGAGGATGTTTTTACAGAAACTTCTGCAATAACAGAATCTTCTGAACTTCATTAATATGCATTTTCGAAATAAATTACAACATAGCATAATTTTAATAGAATGTAAAGTGTTACTTGTCACCAACTGTTTATATAGTGAGGGAAAAAAGTATTTGATCCCCTGCTGATTATGTACGTTTGCCCACTGACAAAGAAATGATCAGTCTATAATTTTAATGGTAGGTTTATTTGAACAGTGAGAGACAGAATAACAACAAAAGAATCCAGAAAAACGCATGTCAAAAATGTTATAAATTGATTTGCATTTTAATGAGGGAAATAAGTATTTGACCCCCTCTCAATCAGAAAGATTTCTGGCTCCCAGGTGTCTTTTATACATGTAACGAGCTGAGATTAGGAGCACACTCTTAAAAGGAGTGCTCCTAATCTCAGCTTGTTACCTGTATAAAAGACACCTGTCCACAGAAGCAATCAATCAATCAGATTCCAAACTCTCCACCATGGCCAAGACCAAAGAGCTCTCCAAGGATGTCAGGGACAAGATTGTAGACCTACACAAGGCTGGAATGGGCTACAAGACCATCGCCAAGCAGCTTGGTGAGAAGGTGACAACAGTTGGTGCGATTATTCGCAAATGGAAGAAACCCAAAAGAACTGTCAATCTCCCTCGGCCTGGGGCTCCATGCAAGATCTCACCTCGTGGAGTTGCAATGATCATGAGAACGGTGAGGAATCAGCCCAGAACTACACGGGAGGATCTTGTCAATGATCTCAAGGCAGCTGGGACCATAGTCACCAAGAAAACAATTGGTAACACACTACGCCGTGAAGGACTGAAATCCTGCAGCGCCCGCAAGGTCCCCCTGCTCAAGAAAGCACAAAGCAAATCGAGCTCTTTGGCATCAACTCAACTCGCCGTGTTTGGAGGAGGAGGAATGCTGCCTATGACCCCAAGAACACCATCCCCACCGTCAAACATGGAGGTGGAAACATTATGCTTTGGGGGTGTTTTTCTGCTATGGGGACAGGACAACTTCACCGCATCAAAGGGACGATGGACGGGGCCATGTCCTGTCAAATCTTGGGTGAGAACCTCCTTCCCTCAGCCAGGGCATTGAAAATGGGTCGTGGATGGGTATTCCAGCATGACAATGACCCAAAACAAACGGCCAAGGCAACAAAGGAGTGGCTCAAGAAGAAGCACATTAAGGTCCTGGAGTGGCCTAGCCAGTCTCCAGACCTTAATCCCATAGAAAATCTGTGGAGGGAGCTGAAGGTTCGAGTTGCCAAACGTCAGCCTCGAAACCTTAATAACTTGGAGAAGATCTGCAAAGAGGAGTGGGACAAAATCCCTCCTGAGATGTGTGCAAACCTGGTGGCCAACTACAAGAAACCTCTGACCTCTGTGATTGCCAACAAGGGTTTTGCCACCAAGTACTAAGTCATGTTTTGCAGAGGGGTCAAATACTTATTTTTATTAAAATGCAAATCAATTTCTAACATTTTTGACAAGCGTTTTTCTGGATTTTTGTTGTTATTCTGTCTCTCACTGTTCAAATAAACCTACCATTAAAATTATAGACTGATCATGTCTTTGTCAGTGGGCAAACATACAAAATCAGCAGGGGATCAAATACTTTTTTCCCTCACTGTGTAATCCATCAACCTTCATAGGGTACCTAAATCTATGGGACTGACCTGTGCTTGTGGCTGAGGAGGAGCCACTCCTACTGTTGCCTGGACACTGGTGAGGGTACTGGAGAGGCTCATCAGACTCTGGGAAGTACTGCAGACACATGGAGGAAGAGTACACAATGCTAACAGTAATCGCATATCTAAAATCAAACGCTCATAAACTGTGGAACACAGACACCACTTGATAATAACTAAGAAATAAGTTGTTCAATTGCAGGTTATTATGGGTTATTATTAGTGCTGTGAGTGTGAAGTTCTGATCACATGGGGCTGTGGGGTTTTCCAGTACTGTACCTTCATGAGGCTTGCCATGGTGTGCTTGACCTCCTCCATGGAGGGCCTCTGGGCAGGGTCTTTGTCCCAGCAGTGTGTCATCAGATTCTCTATGGGCTCCGGGAGGTCCTTTATCAGGGGGGGCCGAGTCCCTGAGAACCCATACAAGAGACTGGCATGTCAGTGGGGGAATGTCAATAGCCTAGTGGCTTCCTCTATTCATCTTCTCTCCTTCATCTAACAACTAGGTGAGGTTTTCTTTCAAACCTATATTTCACTTCATTTTGCTGTTTCGGTTTTATTCCTCTGTGTGAATGTAACTACACTAAGCGTCTATGGCTCGGTAACCTCTCACCTCTGTGCACGGCCCACATGATGCAGAAGGCCGATCCTCCAATCTCGTCAAAGGGTTTTCTACGAGTGATCACCTCCCACAGGATGATGCCCCAGCTGAACACATCACACTTCTCACTGTAGTTACTGCCTGGACAACAGAGTCACAGAGAGAGATACAGGTGAGTGAAGGAATAAAGGTTAGAGTGAGACCCTAGAATGTTCGATTGGCGAGACAGAGAGACTAGGTGCTTGGTCCATTTTGGTCTTCTGCTTTTGAATGAAAGGAGGAAAACCCCTTGCTAAAGGTTACTTGCCTTCAAACACTTCTGGTGCCATCCACGCTGCACTTCCTTTGTTGTTGGTCATGTGTGTCTGGATGTCACAGGCTGTCCCAAAGTCACAGATCTTCAACACTGTGCCACCCTGTACAAGCAGCAGACTGAAACACATTGCTATGGTTTAGGTTTAGAGAGTACAACCTCATTAACCTCTAAAAGTCTAAGCTGTTGGGGGGAATTGTTTTAAGATGGTGGTCATAACATGGATCATTAAGCTATTTGATTTTGAATTTTAGGACCCCTTTAGGTATCAAAAATAAAATAGTGAATTTGGCCTTTACTACTATAGCCCATAGAAACGCATTGAAAAAGACAGTCAAAAAATAAATCATAAGGAAATATTTGTGTTTTTTTGGACACATATTTAACCCTGTATTTTTGTTGGTACAAAACTTCCTCCATACTTCCATTTGTTTGTATGGGTTACCTTCAGACAAGTCCCATGACACTTGTGGGGATCAAAGAGAAAAACGTGAGTCTCCCCTTTCCATAGTGGGGTCATACTAGTTTGTAGCTCAAATGGTTGGGACGCTACAGACAGAAGTTGGCATATCAGTGTTACCAAATTCAGACGAGTCTCATAACACTTGTGGGGCCATAGAGCAAAATGGAGAACACCATCGTGTCCATCAGTCTCCCCTTTCCATAGATTGGTCATAATCGTTTGACGCTACAGACGTTTTTGTGAGAATACCGATTTTCGGGATGTCTCATGGTCTGACAAACACAGCTGTAGTTCGGCCACCTTCCACCCCAGATGTGGAAGGCCGACATTGGCGGATGCAGTGGATTGAGACGCAGCCCATGCAAAAAAAACGGATCTCTCTATCTTAAACTGACAGATTTTAATGGGGATTTTTTTCTTATGTTACTTAGATGTGTCAGTAGACTCTTAAGGATTAATTGTTTTCTATTTTGATATATAAGTACTGTAAACAGATTGCAAAATTCTGGTAACTTTCCCACAATTCCCTGGTTTTCCAGAAATCCTGGTTGGAGGACTCCCGAATTTCCTGCTTATCCCCTCATAATTCCAGGAATCTTTTTTCTGGAAAACTGAGGAAATTTGGGAAAGTTACCGGAATTTTGCAACCCTGAAACAGGCAGTTAAGTAACAGCACACAGAAAAGGGCCATACTTGGGTGGTTTGAGGTCTCTGTGAATGAGGGCCTTGGGTTTCATGGCGTGGAGATAGGATACCCCCTGAGCACACTGCAGACACCAGCTCATAGTGTGGGATGCACTGTACTGGGGCAGGGGCTCAGCTCCATGCAGCACTGGGAATGGCCAGACACAACACAGACGAGAGCGAGAGAGAGAGAGAGAGAGAGAGAGGGGGAGAAAGTCGGGTGGGGCGCACAGAACAGACAGAGATAAAATATTAACATGGTAACTGGCACAGACCCTCATAGATCATGATTGAACAATGACATACAGTAAGGATCACTTGCACAAGACAACACACTCAACTACACAGAAATATAGTGGGAGATTGATACACTGATAATTGCACTCAGACTAAGATGAGGGCTTCAAGCTATGGTTGGCAAATAGAATTATGAACAATATACTTATTGAAATAGCTAAGAAATTACATTAAAGAAAATACTGAGTTGAAATGAAGCTGAAAAAGTAATTTCTTACCATTGTATAAGGAGCCACCCTCAGCATATTCCATAACAAGACACACCTGTGTGAGAACGTTACAATCATTGTGATAAAAAGGGAAAAACACTTAGTGTATGAGATTGCAAATGTGGTGTCAATATAGAGGAAAAACTGTAGTCCTAATAAATAATACTAACTAATAAATGAATAATGACACATGGGCCTAAAGTATATAATTGAACACCAGGAAAATCATACTAAGAAGACAACTCTCCTGAATGTACTTACTGGATTATCACATGAGCCATAGAGCTTCACAATATTTGGGTGATTTACTCTAGAAAGCTGGCGGAGCTGGATGAGGAAGAGACATGGATAAGTGAAACGGATCTCACCATCTTAACATATATGTATTGTTTTGTTTACATTGTAATTGGATATCATTTGACTGCTGCTACCTAATATCAAAAAGGTCCATAAATGTTAGTGGGAATGTTAATATTGGGATAACAAAACTTATTTCAACAATAGACTAGACCAAAAAAACAGGGTTAGATGAAAAACGATGCATTACAGCAGGTAAGGAGAGGATGTTCCTGTACCTCTACTACAAAAGCTTTCCTCTCAGATTCGCTCTCTATGGTCTTGATGGCAACATCTTTGCCTTTCCATTTGGCCTTAAATACAACTCCAAATGTTCCTCTGCCAACAACCTGGAGATACACAAAGAAACAAATGTCACATGTATAAAACACTGCTTTTCTGGTCTAGTAACATGCTTTCAAGGAAAATGTTGTGTTTTCACAATAATGTATATAAACCTTGGATTGCTGATGCTATGTATTGGCCAATGAGAGGCTTTGAAGCCACCAGAAGACGCAGTCCTCCATAGGAATGAACGGAATTCTACAGTATTTCAATTAAATGTTTCAAGGACAAAAACACATGATTTAAAGTATTTTTTTTATACGTTAAAGAAAATGTTTTTATATTTTGTTTTATATTATTATGTTTAGCTCAAATAATATAATTTCAAAGTATGCATTAAGGTGTCTGTAACAGAATAAACGTGGCAAAAAAATAAATAATTGACATTCATAAATGCATTTCTATAACTTCCAAAATATTTTTTACAATGGTGGGGGAGTGCCAAGATGGAGGCGCGGTGGTATATATAAATCATTGTGTTTTAATTTCTGTCCCTTCTGTGAGTCCTGGGCAGACAGGTCCCCCTCTAGGTTATAATCGGACATGTTTCTGAGTGGTGATCTGTCTCGTTATTTTCTGTATAATCTACAAATCATTAGATACTGCTGGTGTTTTGAAAGAGGTAGCCTATCTTGGCTTCATAGTTGAAACTGGCACAGAAGTGACATGGATGATCAAAACACTAAACTTCTATTCTATTCAACAAGGTTCCTGCAATTTCCCCCACAAAAGGCTAATTGTTTGGTACTATAGGCAGTATTGGTAGCTATCATACGACATTTACCTCTTCAACTTCTATGTCCTCATATTCTATCTCTTCGAAGGGATATCCAGGAGGTGTCTCAAGCATCTCGAAGGCGGTAAGGATTCCGCAGAGCAAACTAGAAAACAACAACAGAGTGTATTAGCATACTGTGTGCCGTTAAACTGGCCGGTCAGTCACTTAGACGCACGATTTATTTTCATTTTGGAGCACTCGATATTTCATGCAACAACTCCTCCATAATAGTTTCCATTTGCTGTTGAAACATACATCAGGAAGTATGAAGCTGTCTGCTCCAGCGAGCCGCTGTTTCGAACACTCAGGAGGAAGAGTTACATTGTATCAAAAGCGATAAACTAGGATCAGCTGTTTATCATCATTATGTATGAATAGTTTTGTTACATCCAACGTGGAAAATCAAATGGCGTGAATAGCAAATTAGTACGAGTTTGATAATGTCAGAGTGAAAACAAATGCCGTTTATTCCATGGTTTGGGCAGTGAAATGTTCGCAGCCTTGGGGTGCATTCAAGAACAGTACACGGTTACGTGTTATTCAACAGCCGGTGCGGTCCTCTCAAGATCAAATCAAATCAAATGTTATTGGTCACATGCGCAGAATACAACAGGTGCAGACATTGCAGTGAAATGCTTACTTACAGCCCTTAACCAACAGTGCATTTATTTTAAACAAAAAAAGTAAGAATAAAACAACAAAAAAAGTGTTGAGAAAAAAAGAGCAGAAGTAAAATAAAGTGACAGTAGGGAGGCTATATATACAGTAAAATAAAGTGACAGTAGGGAGGCTATATATACAGGGGGGTACCGTTGCAGAGTCAATGTGCGGGGGCACCGGCTAGTTGAGGTAGTTGAGGTAATATGTACATGTGGGTAGAGTTAAAGTGACTATGCATAAATACTTAACAGAGTAGCAGCAGCGTAAAAAGGATGGGGTGGGGGGGCAGTGCAAATAGTCCGGGTAGCCATGATTAGCTGTTCAGGAGTCTTATGGCTTGGGGGTAGAAGCTGTTGAGAAGTCTTTTGGACCTAGACTTGGCACTCCGGTACCGCTTGCCGTGCGGTAGCAGAGAGAACAGTCTATGACTAGGGTGGCTGGAGTCTTTGACAATTTTGAGGGCCTTCCTCTGACACCGCCTGGTATAGAGGTCCTGGATGGCAGGGAGCTTTGCCCCAGTGATGTACTGGGCCGTACGCACTACCCTCTGTAGTGCCTTGCGGTCAGAGGCCAAGCAGTTGCCATACCAGGCGGTGATGCAACCAGTCAGGATGCTCTCGATGGTGCAGCTGTAGAATTTTTTGAGGATCTGAGGACCCATGCCAAATCTTTTTAGTCTCCTGAGGGGGAATAGGCTTTGTCGTGCCCTCTTCACGACTGTCTTGGTGTGTTTGGACCATGATAGTTCGTTGGTGATGTGGACACCAAGGAACTTGAAGCTCTCAACCTGTTCCACTACACCCCCGTCGATGAGAATGGGGGCGTGCTCAGTCCTCTTTTTTTTCCTGTAGTCCACAATCATCTCCTTTGTCTTGGTCACGTTGAGGGAGAGGTTGTTGTCCTGGCACCACACGGCCAGATCTCTGACCTCCTCCCTATAGGCTGTCTCATCGTTGTCGGTGATCAGGCCTACCACTGTTGTGTCGTCGGCAAACTTAATGATGGTGTTGGAGTCGTGCCTGGCCATGCAGTCATGGGTGAACAGAGAGTACAGGAGGGGACTGAGCACGCACCCCTGAGGGGCCCCCGTGTTGAGGATCAGTGTGGTAGATGTGTTGTTACCTACCCTTACCACCTGGGGGCGGCCCGTCAGGAAGTCCAGGATCCAGTTGCAGAGGGAGGTGTTTAGTCCCAGCATCCCAGGCTTAACCCCCGTGTGAAAGACAGCACCTAATAGATATCACAGATTATTATTTGACTGGCACCATCGATCGATTCGAGCCTGAAGTGTAGGCGTTTTTGTTGTGTTGGCTCGTCAACCTTTGCGGATTTTGAACAAAGCTCAATTCTATTTGTTGAACCTGCCTTCCTGAGCGATAGAGGGCGACATACACGAGAGCGTAAACGTGCGTCGATATTGTATTTTATGGTTAGCGATGTCTCATCACCATACAGTCAGTCATTGGTCATCATCAAAACACTTAAAGTAAAGGGTCGAAACGGTGCAAATATTAACGAAAACCACTGACAGCAACAGCCTGTACATTATTTTTTAAAAACCAACATTCCTGGAAACGATACATAGTTAAACGCAAAGGATCCCTGAGGACTCTTGTCTTCTTGATTAGCGCTAACTTCATCATACTGCAACGTTGTTGTTTCCCCGTTGGACTGCAGCTGCTAGCTAACGTTAGCCTAGCTGGCTAATTATCTGTATCCCCTCTGCCTGGTCGGGACGGGATCGAAATGTCCTGCTGCCTGCTCGAGTTCTGCCGGGTCCAAGAACTCAAAGCAGTCCGGGTGTTCTTGTTCCAGAACCAGCAAAACAACCCTTCCTCAGAGGACAAGAAAGCAGGTAACTAGCTAACGCTCAGCTCTGGGCGAGATAAGTGGCTGTTTATGACCAACTTGTTTGATTGCTTTCGCAAAAAGAGACGAGGATTGCAAACAGCAATGTTCGAGTAGCTATGATAATTTGCCTAATACTTGTATAGTCGTATAACATGTGTGTGTGTCGGAAATAGAGACCGAATAATGGTTCACAAATTGCACAACAACTAGATAGTGTTGTTGACAGTCCAGTGGAAATTAGACTGTAATTTGTTCTATGGGCGACGTCACTTGTCATCTCACGCTTGCAGAATCTGACAGCTCTCGAAGTCGCACTTTTTGTTCCAGTGCTCTAAATGCTAGAAACACCAGGGGGTGTAAAGAATGCACTTATACCTACATGTCTCTTTAAATATTTGACCTGTCACATCATGAATGATACAATTAGAGATTATAGCAGTTGATATGCTAAAGGTGTAGTGAAGGTAAGAGCTGGAGAGCTACAGTACCAGCGGGAGGCAGACGAGGATGGAAAGGGAGGGAGGGAGGGGGATTTGCCCTTTGTCATATGAGTCTTCCTACAGGAGGGCATCTGAACAGATTACTGCATGATGCTGGACAAAGGAAGACACACACATAAGAATACGTACTTACATAAACCTACTCAAAGCCCTGAGCCATTGTACATGCATGTTACAGTCAGACTATGGCAACAGGAGTCCCACTGACAATGCGAGTTCTGTCAATCTCTCTCCTCCTCCCACTCACTGATATTTATAGCATCTCCAACTTCATTCCTTTTCTCTCTTTGGGTCGGGGGAGGTCTCTTGTCCTTGATGCTCATCTTTCTCTCTGCCTTCTTTGTTAGTTTGGCCCTGCCAGTCCCAAAGATGTGTGTATCATGCATCACCTGATTTGAATAAATGTTCAGCTTTATAGACTAACTATAATATAATATGCCACTTAGCAGACACTTTTATCCAAAGCGACTTAGTCATGTGTGCCACATTTTACGTATGGGTGGTCCCGGGAATCAAACCCACTACCCTGGCGTTACATACACCATGCTCTACCAACTGAGTTACAAAGGACCACATACATTTTTAACTGACAATTGACTCTGGATTGCACCTCCTAATAATTGTGATTGCTCTCTCTCTCTCTCACGCTCAGAGAATGAGCTGGCCTGGGATGACTCAGACTGGGGGTCATGGGATAACACTGAGGCCAAAGAAGATGGCAGTGGCACCACCACGGTCAGTTTGTCTGTCTCTTACACTATTTATTTTCTTTAACATCTAAAGATTAGCCTAAATCAGACAGCACCCTTCCATAGCCCTCTGTGATCTATAAGGTTTGGTCCTGTTGTGTTGTGTTCCTCAGGGGGTGGAGGAGGACAGTGCTGCAGTGAGCGCCCCCTGGCTGCAGGACTGTGTGGTGTCTCTGTCTCCCTGCTCAGACCTGATGGTCGTTGCCAAAGACCACAAGGCTGTGTTTCTTTCAGGTATGTGTCCCAAAACACAGACACGCACGTTAATGTACACACACACACACAAACAAACGCTCTCTACTCTACCCTTATTAAAGCTAGATGAGACAAAGTCAATGTCCTCAAATGCATAAACATCTCCCCAATGACACATACACACTGCTGTTGGTGGGGTGTGTGTTGACATTGTCTCCCCTTTCCTGCAGCGAAGTGGCGGACAGATGACGGAGGCCGAGAGGAGATGACCCTGGCTGTGTCCTGGAGTGGAACTCTCAGCACAGAGGAGGGGTGAGAGAATGGGGGGAGGAGGGGGGAGAGAACAGGGGAGGATGGGGGAGAGAACAGAGGAGGAGGAGGAGGGGGAGAGAACAGAGGAGGAGGAGGAGGAGGAGGTGAGAAAACAGAGGGAGGGAGGAGGGGGGAAAGAACAGAGGAGGAGGGGGGAAGAACAGAGGAGGAGGGGGGGGGGGAAAGAAAGAGGAGGAGGGGGGGGGAAAAAACAGAGGAGGAGGGGGGGAGAACAGAGGAGGAGGGGGGGAGAGGATGAGAGAGAACAGAGGAGGAGGGGGGGAGAGAACAGAGGAGGAGGGGGGGGGAGACAGAAAGGGGGGGGGGAGAGAGAGGAGGAGGGGAGGAGGTGTGAGGGGGGGGAGAGAAAAGGAGGACGGCGGGGGGAAGAACACAGAGGAGAAGGGGGAGAGAACAGAGGAGGAGGAGGGGGGAGAGAACAGAGGAGGAGGAGGGGAGAGAACAGAGGAGGAGGAGGGGAGGAACAGAGGAGGAGGAGGAGGGGAGAGAACGGAGGAGGGGGGAGGGGAGAGGAACGGAGGAGGAGGGGGAAGAGAAACGGAGGAGGAGGGGAGAGAAAACGGAGGAGGAGGGGAGAGAAAGCGGAGGAGGAGAGGGAGAGAGAAAACAGAGGAGGAGGAGGGGGGAGAAGAACAGGAGGAGGAGGGGGGATGAGAACAGGAGGAGGAGGGGAGGAGAAGGAGGGAGGAGGGGGGGAAAGGAGGGGAGGGGAGAGGAGGAGGAGGAGAGAAGAGGGGAGGAGGGGGAGGAGGGGAGAGAAAGAGGACGCAGGGAGGAGGAGGGGAGAGAACAAGGAGGAGGGGGGAGAGAGGAGAACAAGCAGAGGAGGGAGGGGGGGAGAGAGGAGGAGGAGGGGGGGGAGAGAAAGAGGAGGAGGAGGGGGAGAGAAACGAGGAGGAGGAGGAGGGAAACAAAAAGAGGAGGGGGGGAGGGATAGAAAAGGAGGGGGAGGGAGAAAAACGAGGGGAGGGGAGGGGGGGAGAGAACAGAGGAGGAGGGGGGGAGAGAACAGAGGAGGAGGGGGGGAGAGAACAGAGGAGGAGGGGGGTTGAGAAAACAGGGGAGAGAACAGGAGGGGGGAGAGAAACAGAGGAGGAGGGTGGGAGAGAACAGAGGGAGGAGGGGGGAGAGAACAGAGGGAGGAGGGGGGAGGGGGGGGAGAGAAACAGAGGGGGGGGAGAACAGAGGGGGGGGAGAACAGAGGGAGGGGGGAGAGAGAACAGAGGGAGGAGGGGGGAGAGTAAGGAGGGAAAGAAACATAAGGGCGGATGAATGAGAGAGGAATGGGTGAGACTGAGAGAATGTGAGGAGAGGAAAGGACACAGAAAGAAGACAATATTAGATTCCAGATTCACTGTGTGTGTGTGTGTTTGTCTCTTTACAGGGAGAGTGTGAGCAGCGTCATCTGTATACCTCTGGCCAGCCAGAAGAAGTAAGCCACCTAGTGTGTCCGACATTTTTCCAAAGTCAATACTTTGTAGAGCCAGCTTTTGCAGCAATTACAGCTGCAAGTCTCTTGGGGTATGTCTCTATAAGCTTGGCACATCTAGCCACTGGGATTTTTGCCTATTCTTCAAGGCAAAACTGCTCCAGCTCCTTCAAGTTGGATGGGTTCCGCTGGTGTACAGCAATCTTTAAGTCACAGATTCTCAATTGGATTGAGGTCTGGGCTTTGACTAGGCCATTCCAAGACATTTAAATGTTTCCCCTTAAACCACTCGAGTGTTGCTTTAGCAGTATGCTTAGGGTCATTGTCCTGCTGGAAGGTGAACCTCCGTCCCAGTCTCAAATCTCTGGAAGACTGAAACAGGTTTCCCTCAAGAATTTTCCTGTATTTAGCACCATCCATCATTCCTTCATTTCTGACCAGTTTCCCAGTCCCTGCTGATGAAAAACATCAGTACAGGTGCATCAAAGCTGGGACCGAGAGAAGCTGTTTTTCATTCTATCTCAAGGCCATCAGACTGTTAAATAGCCATCACTAGCACATTAGAGGCTGCTGCTGCCTATTGAAATCACTGGCCACTTTAAGAAATGGAACACTAGTCACTTTAATAATGTTTACATATCTTGCACTACTCATCTCATATGTATATACTGCATTCTATTCTAAAATAGTCTACTGTATCTTAGTCCATGCCGCTCTGTCATTGCTTGTCCATATATGTATATTTTCTTAAATTCCATTCCTTACTAGTTTTGTGTGTATTGGGTATATGTTGTGAAATTGTTAGATATTACTACACTGTCGGAGCTAGAAGCACAAGCATTTTGCTACACCCGCTATAACTGCTAAACACGTGTATGTGACAAATAACATTTTATTTGATTAGAAAAACATCCCCACAGCATGATGCTGCCACCACCATGCTTCACTGTGGGGATGGTGTTCTTAGGGTGATGAGAGGTGTTGGGTTTGCGCCAGACATAGCGTTTACCTTGATGGCCAAAAAGCTCAATTTTAGTCTCATCTGACCAGAGTACCTTCTTCCATATGTTTGGGGAGTCTCCCACATGCCTTTTGGCGAACACCAAACGTGTTTGCTTATCATTTTCTTTAAGCAATGGCTTTTTTTCTGGCCATTCTTCCGTAAAGCCCAGCTCAGCGGAGTGTACGGCTTAAAGTGGTCCTATGGACAGATACTCCAATCTCCGCTGTGGAGCTTTGCAGCTCCTTCAGGGTTATCTTTGGTCTCTTTGTTGCCTCTCTGAATAATGCCCTCCTTGCCTGGTCTGTGAGTTTTGGTGGGCGGCCGTCTCTTGGCAGGTTTGTTGTTGTGCCATATTCTTTCCATTTTTAAATAATGGATTTAATGGTGCTCTGTGGGATGTTCAAAGTTTCAGATATTTTTTTATAACCCAACCCTGATCTGTACTTCTCCACAACTTTGTCCTTGACCTGTTTGGAGAGCTCCTTGGTTTTCATGGTGCCGCTTGCTTGGTGGTGCCCCTTGCTTAGTGGTGTTGCAGACTCTGGGGCCGTTCAGAACAGGTGTATATATACTGAGATCATGTGACAGATCATGTGACACTTATATTACACACAGGTGGACTTTATTTAACTAATTATGTGACTTCTGAAGGTAATTGGTTGCACCAGATGTTATTTAGGGGCTTCATAGCAAAGGGGGTGAATACATGTGCACGCACCACTTTTCTGTTATTTTTTTCATTTCACTTCACCAATTTGGACTATTTTGTGTATGTCCATTACATGAAATCCAAATAAAAATCAATTTAAATTACAGGTTGTAATGCAACAAAATAGGAAAAACGCCAAGGGGGATGAACGCTTTTGCAAGGCACTGTATCAATGTGTGTATGTAAGTTTGTGTTCTAATGATGAGTATTTTCTCTCTCTCTCTCTGTCTGTCTGTCTGTGTGTCTGTCTGTGTGTGTTCAGGAGTTCCACAGGTCGGCCAGACTGGACCTGTATCGTTGTGGGCTTCTCATCTGGCTATGTCCGCTTCTACACAGAGGTACAGCACAGCAGCATTGACTTGTTACCAGGAAGTCTGGCTGGTGTGGTAGTGTTATTCTAACAGTGGCGTTGTGTGTGTTTGTCAGAGTGGGGTCCTACTCCTAGCCCAGCTGTTGAATGAGGATCCTGTCCTGAGGCTCAAGTGTCGCACCTACGAGATCCCCCGCCACCCCGGTGTCACCGAGCAGGTACGGCTGTAGCACACATCGAAACACTGACAGCTGTCTGGGCCTGGGTATCAAGGTTCCCTTGATGACACTTTGTATTTATGAATCTCTCTGTCTTTCCCTCTCTCTCTCTCTCTCTCTCTCTCTCTCTCTAAGCATGAAGAGCTGAGCATACTTTACCCAGCAGCCCTGGTCACTATTGATGGCTTCAGCCTCTTCCAGTCTCTACGGGCCTGCAGAAACCAGGTGGCTCGAGGTACTGCTCTCTGTGTGTGTTTTGTGTCTGTTGAGGTACTGTAGTAGCAGTAGCGGTACAGTGCAGTGAAGAAGTATTTGCCCCCTTTCTGATTTTCTCTATATTTTATAGTGAATGTTATCAGATCTTCAACCAAAACCTAATATTAGTTAAAGGTAACCTGAGTTTACAAATAACAAAACGAATTGATACTTATTTTATTTATTTAATTAACAAAGTTTTGGAACACCCAATTCCCCTGTGTGAAGAAGTCATTGCCCCCTTACACTCAATAACTGATTGTGCCACCTTTAGCTGCAATGACTGCAACCAAATGCTTCCTGTAGTTGTTGATCAGTCTCTCACATCGCTGTGGATACATTTTGGCCCACTCTTACATGCAGAACTGCTTTAACTCCGCATCATTTGTGGGTTTTCAAGCATGAACTGCTAGTTACAAGTCCTGCCACAACATCTCAATTGGGATTATGTCTGGACTTTGACTAGACCATTTCAAAACTTCAGCTTCAGCTCACAGACGGATGGCCTGACATTCTCCTGTAGAATTCTCTGATACAGAGCAGAATTTATGGTTCCTTCTATTAAGGCAAGTTGTCCAGGTCTTAAGGCAACAAAGCATCCCCAAACCATCACACTACCAACACCATGCTTGACCATTGATATAAGGTTCTTACTGTGGAATGCAGTAAGGTTTTCGCCAGGCAGCTGGGTCATGCAGCAAGACAATGATCCAAAACACACAAATCAAGTCTACGTGAAAATGGCTAAAAAGCAACACATTTGAAGTTTTGGAATGGCCTAGTCAAAGTCCAGACCTAATCCCAATTGAGATGTTGTGGCAGGACTTGAAACGAGCAGTTCATGCTTGAAAACCCACAAATGTCGCTGAGTTAAAGCAGTTCTGCATGGAAGAGTGGGACAAAATTCCTCCACAGCGATGTGAGAGACTGATCAACAACTACAGGAAGCGTTTGGTTGGAGTCATTGCAGCTGAAGGTGGCACAACCAGTTATTGAGTGTAGGGGGGCAATTACTTTTTCACATAGGGGCATTGGGTATTGCATAACTTTGTTTATGAAATAAATGAAATAAGTATGTCATTGTTGTGTTATTTGTACACTCAGGTTCCCTTTATCTAGTATTAGGTTTTGGTTGAAGATCTGATAACATTCAGTATCAAAAATATGCAAAAGTAGAGAAAATTAGAAAGTGGGCAAATACTTTTTCACAGCACTGTATGTTAGTGTTAGTAATAGGAGATAGTATTGGTTGTAAAACTAGTTGTAGTACCACAGTAATTGTGCTATAAAGGTTACATGATGTTTAATAGAACCAACTTCTCCATTTGCTGGCTGGGTTGACAGAGTTTGCCAGAAAGGATGCAGGTACTGACACCTACACAAAAGCTAGTCTTTGACACTTAGTATAGTACATTTAGTATTTATTTGCGTATTGTGGCTTGATGTGATATATACTGTCATTCCACACCATTTATTCAACTCTTTCCCTCATCTCCTCTTCCTCTGTCAACCCTCTCTTCCTTAATCTCTTTCTCATTATCCCTAACTTTCTGTGATTTACCCCTCCCCCCACTCTTCAGCCGCGGCAGCAGGCAGTGAAGTGGTCCAGCCTCCTCCTCTGGCCTATAAGAAGTGGGGTCTACAGGATATGGACGCCATCGTAGACCACAGCAGCGTGGGTGAGCGAGTCAAGGAGGGAGGGTCATATGATTGATGGATGGATGGATGGATGGATGGATGGGCACAGGGAGTGGGGGCGCTGGAGGAAGGAGGACAGGGAGTGGGCAGGAGTAGGGCTGTTTGGTGACCGTATTACCGCCACACCGGCAGTCACGAGTCTTGACGGCAGTCAAATTCCTGGTGACCGTTTGCTAAGTGACTAAAATGTAAAAAATGTAAAAATGTCACGGTAATTAGGCTTCTCCAAGCTCTGATGCTGCTGATGGTCATTAGTAGCCTAACAAACTTGATAACTGCCTGGTACTCAGCACTGTATTGTCCCTCTAATCACTCTGATATCAATGCAAATGTCATCGAAAATCAAACACTTCATGAGAGCCCATGAGCTGATGTTGCGCAACATTTCTATAGGCTATCCAATTGCGTGAGAAAACAGAGTGATGGGCTCTATTAAAAAGAGGATCCCATCAGCTTTCTATAGGCTAGGCCTACTATATTTATTTCTCAACTTTCCTCATATCAAGCACATTGCTTCTCTTTAAAACAGGAGTATAGCCTACCTGGCTGCCATGAAAATGAACCACGGAAAAGCTTCCTCCATTCGCTATTTAAGTGCATAGATTACATGTATTGTTTTCCGCTGCCCCTGTTTCGAGACAGGTGCATGATAATGGGCCATTCTAAATCAAAACAAATTTCACACATATTATTTAGTATATGTAAAGACAAGATTAAATCAATAATATTTTGATGGGTGACAATATTAGCCTATCACTTGTGAATGATGCCCAGCTTAAGGCAAACAGCGCATGCTTTTTTCCCAGAATTTTTCAAATCATAGTCAACGCCTCATGTAGCCTAGCCCATAGGCCTACAGTGCCTTGCAAAAGTATTCATCCCCCTTGGTGTTTTTCCTATTTTGTTGCATTACAACCTGTAATTTAAATGGATTTATATTTGGATTTCATTTAATGGACATACACAAAAGTCCAAATTGGTGAAGTGAAATGAAAAAAATAACTTGTTTCAAAAAATTCAAAAAAATTAATAACGGAAAAGTGCTGTGTGCATATGTATTCACCCCCTTTGCTATGAAGCCCCTAAATAACATCTGGTGCAACCAATTACCTTCAGAAGTCACATAATTAGTTAAATAAAGTCCACCTGTGTGCAATCGAAGTGTCACATGATCTGTCACATGATCTCAGTGTATACACCTGTTCTGAAAAGCCCCAGAGTCTGCAACACCACTAAGCAAGGGGCACCACTAAGCAAGGGGCACCATGAAGACCAAGGAGCTCTCCTTGTGGAGAAGTACAGATCAGGGTTGGGTTATAAAAAAATATCTGAAACTTTGAACATCCCATGGAGCACCATTAAATCCATTATTAAAAAATGGAAAGAATATGGCACCACAACAAACCTGCCAAGAGAGGGCCGCCTACCAAAACTCACGGACCAGGCAAGGAGGGCATTATTCAGAGGCAACAAAGAGACCAAAGATAACCCTCAAGGAGCTGCAAAGCTCCACAGCGGAGATTGGAGTATCTGTCCATAGGACCACTTTAAGCCGTACACTCCACAGAGCTGGGCTTTACAGAAGAGTGGCCAGAAAAAAGCCATTGCTTAAAGAAAATGATAAGCAAACACATTTGGTGTTCGCCAAAAGGCATGTGGGAGACTTCCCAAACATATGGAAGAAGGTACTCTGGTCAGATGAGACTAAAATTGAGCTTTTGGGCCATGAAGGAAAACGCTATGTCTGGCGCAAACCCAACACCTCTCATCACCCCGAGAACACAATCCCCACAGTGAAGCATGGTGGTGGCAGCATCATGCTGTGGGGATGTTTTTCATCGGCAGGGACTGGGAAACTGGTCAGAATTGAAGGAACGATGGATGGCACTATATACAGGGAAATTCTTGAGGGAAACCCGTTTGTCTTCCAGAGATTTGAGACTGGGACGGAGGTTCACCTTCCAGCAGGACAATGACCCTAAGCATACTGCTAAAGCAACACTCGAGTGGTTTAAGGGGAAACATTTAAATGTCTTGGAATGGCCTAGTCAAAGCCCAGACCTCAATCCAATTGAGAATCTGTGACTTAAAGATTGCTGTACACCAGCGGAACCCATCCAACTTGAAGGAGCTGGAGCAGTTTTGCCTTCAAGAATAGGCAAAAATCCCAGTGGCTAGATGTGCCAAGCTTATAGAGACATACCCCAAGAGACTTGCAGCTGTAATTGCTGCAAAAGGTGGCTCTACAAAGTATTGACTTTGGGGGGGTGAATAGTTATGCACGCTCAAGTTCTGTTTTTTTGTCTTATTTCTTGTTTTTTCACAACAAAAAATATTTTGCATCTTCAAAGTGGTAGGCATGTTGTGTAAATCAAATGATACAAACCCCCCCAAAATCCATTTTAATTCCAGGTTGTAAGGCAACAAAATAGGAAAAATGCCAAGGGGGGTGAATACTTTCGCAAGCCACTATATATGTTTTGATAAGGTTTGTATGACAACTAAAGTGGCCAAATAACTTCTTAAAATGAAGCACATTAATCCGCTTTACAACGGGTGTAACTGGCATACATACGCAGCGCATGAGTTTCATGTTTGGGGAAGATAATTTTCACAATAAAAATGCACCTTTATAATAAAACCATACATGCATAATCGCGGGTTTGTTTGTTGTGGTCACTTTTGAGAATGGGGTTTTCCTGCTAATTGAACATTCGCGCTTATAGCCTACTGCCGTGTGCGCATTGCTGCGCTTGTAATTTGAAGAAATAGCCTAATAGTTTTTCACCATTTTAAAAGCTAAACATTCTCATCTGTTGCGTCAGGCTTATTGCTTAAAACAGGTGTTTTGATGCTGGTGGTTGTATTAATTCGGGATCTATTGCATCCCACAACTGTCCCAGACTATGTTTGGAATATTTATTTCTCACACAGAATAGAATAGGTCAACTTTTGTACTATGGGGGATAGTAGATTTACATATGCTAGTGCTTTTGCTGTTCGTTAGGCCTACTCATCTTGTTGGTTGACAAAAAGTTAATGTGGACAGTTCTTCCAATATCTTCAATATGACCTCGGAATTGGATAAGGACGCGCGCAGTTGCGTCCCCGATGTGTCGGTCTTCAATTGTAGCCTGTGAGAAAGACCTGATCACTTGACTGAGAGCCATGTGAGTGAGAGGTACTTTGGCACGCAGCCGGGAGAAGGGAATTATAATTATTATATTCAGCCCAAGGGCACAACAGCCACTGGCCGCAAAAGGCATGGATTTTTTTTAGGGGACATTATGGCCACACAAAGGGGATGCAGCCGGGAAATTCGAGGCATTATCAAGTGTTTGTCAAACTGTGAATGAGAGACTGATGAAGTGTGTGCAGCCTGCGCAAAAAAACAAAGCAGAGCTCATGCCTTTCATGTGACTAATGATGATTTGAAAAAAGTCACATCATGTAGCCTTAGAATGTATTAAAAATCAAAACATATAGCCCAACGTTTGTATCACAACTAAAGTTACATAAATAACTCTAAATTAAGCATATAGGAGTACCTACTTTTTTTGATAACCGCTCAACACAGAATAGCTGCATGTGCCCCAAATCGTTTGAAGAAAATATAATTTCTATTTTATTCAGCAATGTTCAATTGTATTCTTCGTATGAAATAATGCCATGGAATTCCAAGCAAATCTTGTCTGCTAAATGAACTAGTGTAGCCCACAGCCATATGGCATAGCCAGATCAGGGCCTAACATAAGGACAACTCAGAGTATGCTATTTTGTTCTTCTGAAATAGACTACATTTTCTTCATATCATGTTTCTTTAGACCTGTCTAAAATAAATAATGGATTTATTGTGATGGTGTTGGCTATATTACATGGATTTATTAGACTTTTTTAAATGTAGATGTTCCAAAGGTCTGCATCAGTGGCTTGTAAGCCAGGAGATGCTAAATGTGCTTATTTTAATTATCACCGGCTGACAAAATGTCATCACCGCCACAGCCCTAGGCAGGAGCATGGCGAGCAGAAGGTGGAGAAAATCATGGATACTGGTTGAAAGACGGTGAAAGTGTAGCTACAGTGGCTTCGGAAAGTATTCAGACCCCTTGACTTTTTCCACATTTTGTTACGTTACAGCCTTATTCTAAAATTGATTAAATAAAGAAAGTTCCTCAGCAATCTACACACAATACCCCATAATGATAAAGCGAAAAAAGGTTTTTAGGAATGTTTGCATATTTATAAAAAATAAAAAAACATACCTTATTTACATAAGTATTCAGACCCTTTGAGATCAGGTGCATCCTGTTTCCATTGATCATCCTTGATGTTTTCGACAACTTGATTGGAGTCCACCTGTGGTAAATTCAATTGATTGGACATGATTTGGAAATACACACACCTGTCTATCTAAGGTCCCACAGTTGACAGTGCAGGTCAGAGTAAAAACCAAGTCATGAGGTCGAAGGAATTGTCCGTAGAGCTCCGAGAAAGGATTGTATCGAGACACAGATCTTGGGAAGGGTACCAAAACATTTCTGCAGCATTGAAGGTCCCCAAGAACACAGTGGCCTCCATCATTCTTAAATGGAAGAAGTTTGGAACCACCAAGACTCTTCCTAGAGCTGGCCGCCCGGCCAAACTGAGCTATCGGGGGAGAAGGGCCTTGGTCAGGGAGGTGACCAAGAACCCGATGGTCATTCTGACAGAGCTCTAGAGTTCCTCTCTGGATATGGGAGAACCTTCCAGAAGGACAACCATCTCTGCAGCACTCCACCAATCAGGCCTTTATGGTAGAGTGGCCAGACGGAAGACAGTAAAAGGCACATGATGGCCCGCTTGGAGTTTGCCAAAAGGTACCTAAAAACTCTCAGACCATGAGAAACAAGATTATCTTGTCTGATGAAACCAAGATTGAACTCTTTGGCCTGAATGCCAAGCGTCATGTCTGGAGGAAACCTGGCACCATCATGCTATGGGGATGTTTTTCAGGGACTGGGAGACTTGCCAGGATCGAGGCAAAGATGAACGGAGAAAGTACAGAGAGATCCTTGATGAAAACCTGCTCCAGAGCACTCAGGACCTCAGACTGGGGCGACGGTTCACCTTCCAACAGGACAACGACCCTAAGCACGCAGCCAAGACAACGCAGGAGTGGCTTCGGGACAAGTCTCTGAATGTCCTTGAGTGGCCCAGCCAGAGCCCGGACTTGAACCTGATCGAACATCTCTGGAGAGACCTGAAAATAGCTGTGCAGGAACGCTCCCCATCCAACCTGACAGAGCTTGAGAGGATCTGCAGAGAAGAACGGGAGAAACTCCCCAAATACAGGTGTGCCAAGCTTGTAGCGTCATACCCAAGAAGATTCGAGGCTGTAATCGCTGCCAAAGGTGCTTCAACAAAGGACTGAGTAAAGGGTCTGAATACTTAGGTAAATGTGATATTTCAGTTTTGTATTTTTTATAAATTAGCAAAAAAATCTAAAAACCTGTTTTTGCTTTGTCATTATGGGGTATTGTGTAGATTGATGAGGAAAAAAATTATTTAATCAATTTTAGAATAAGGCTGTAACGTAACAAAATGTGGAAGGAGTCAAGGGGTCTGAATACTTTCTGAATGCACTATGTTCTCCATTGTAACAATGCTCTCTCTCCATCCCTCCCTCCCCAGGTATAATGACGCTGTGTGTGTTTGACCAGATGAAGAATGCGTCTATCCTGGGGGGTTTCCATGCCTCTGTGAAGGGCAGCCCCCCTGCCATGAGTCAGTACATAACTGTGGGGGGAGGACCCTACACAGGCTTCTACTACGCCATAGAGGTGTGTGTTTGTGTCTGTCTGTCCATCTTTTTCTCACCTCATGCATGTCTGTTTATCTCCCTGAGAGAATGGTAGTTACTCTTTAATAAGAAAGTCGGCATTAGTTCAGACCAGTAGAAGCGACTTTTGACTTTCCTATTCCTTCTAGACCAGGGATGGGCAATAATTTTGGCTCGAGGGCCACATCAGGATTTCTAAATTAAGTGGAGGGACGTTATTTTGAAAAAGTGCAGTTATTAGGTCCATTATCATTTCTACATACTTTCTATGTAGTTTTATATGTTCAAGAGTGACCTGAAGTGTTATTACCCCCCCCCAAAGTCAAACCTCCCTCGGACCGGATTACCTTATTTTGCCCACCCCTGCTGTAGACAGAGCAGAGATTTCCACCAAAGCAGCACAAAATGTCCAGTCAGAATATATTGTTTTTCTCTCTCTCTCTCTCCAGGGTAGCTCCCAGCCTCTCCTCTCCCATGTGGCTCTGGCTGTGGCGAGCAAACTCACATCGGCCTTGTTCAGCGCTGCCAGGTGCGCGCGTTTGTTTTTCTTACTTCAGAAAGTATTCAGACCACTTGACTTTTTTCACATTTTGTTATGTTACAGCTTTATTCTAAAATTTATAAAATTGTTTTTTCCCCTTCATCAATCTACACACAATACCCCGTAATGACAAAGCAAAAACAGGTTTTTAGATTTGTTTGCTAATTTATACAAAATAAAAAAACTGAAATATCACATTTACATAAGTATTCAGACCCTTTACTCAGTACTTTGTTGAAGCACCTTTGGCAGCGATTACAGCATTGAGTCTTCTTGTGAATGACGCTACAAGCTTGGCACACCTGTATTTAGGGAGTTTCTCCCATTCTTCTCTACAGATCCTCTCAAGCTCTGTCAGGTTGGATGGGGAGCGTTGCTGCACAGCTATTTTCAGGTCTCTCCAGAGATGTTAGATCGGGTTCAAGTCCGGGCTCTGGCTGGGCCACTCAAGGACATTCAGAGACTTGTCCCGAAGCCACTCCAGCGTTGTCTTGGCTGTGTGCTTAGGGTCATTGTCCTGTTGGAAGGTGAACCTTCACCCCAGTCTGAGGTCCTGAGAGCTCTAGAGCAGGTTTTCATCAAGGATCTCTTGTGTACTTTGCTCCGTTCATCTTTCCCTCGATCCTGACTAGTCTCCCAGTCCCTGCCGCTGAAAAACAACCCCACAGCATGATGCTGACACCACCATTCTTCCCCGTAGGGATGGTGCCAGGTTTCCTCCAGACGTGACGCTTGGCATTCAGGCCAAAGAGTTCAATCTTTGTTTCATCAGACCAGAGAATCTTGTTTCTCATGGTCTGAGAGTCTTTAGGTGCCTTTTGGCAAACTCCAAGCAGGCTGTCATGTGCCTTTTACTGAGGAGTGGCTTCCCTCTGGCCACTCTACCATAAAGGCCTGATTTGGTGGAGTGCTGCAGAGATGGTTGTCCTTCTGGAAGGTTCTCCCATCTCCACAGAAAAACTCTAAAGCTCTGTCAGATTGACCATCGGGTTCTTGGTCACCTCCCTGACCAAGGCCCTTCTCCCCCGATTGCTCAGTTTGGCCGGGCGGCCAGCTCTAGGAAGAGTCTTCTTGGTGGTTCCAAACTTCTTCCATTGAAGAATGATGGAGGCCACTGTGTTCTTGGGGACCTTCAATGCTGCAGAACAATTTTGGTACCCTTCCCCAGATCTGTGCCTCGACACAATCCTGTCTCGGACCTCTACGGACAATTCCTTCGACCTCATGGCTTGGTTTTTGCTCTGACATGCACTGTCAACTGTGGGACCTTATATAGACAGGTGTATGCCTTTCCAAATCATGTCCAATCAATTGAATTTACCACAGGTGGACTCTAATCAAGTTGTAGAAACATCTCAAGGATGATCAATGGAAACAGGATGCACCTGAGCTCAATTCCGAGTCTCATAGCAAAGGGTCTGAATACTCATGTAAATAAGGTATCTATTTTTATTTTATAGATTTGCACACAAAAAAAAACAGTTTTTGCATTTTTATTATTGGGTATTGTGTGTAGATTGCTGAGGGGAAAAAACTATTTAATCTATTTTAGAATAAGGCTGTAATGTAACAAAATGTGGAAAAAGTCAAGGGGTCTGAATACTTTCCGAAGGCAGTGTATGTATGAGTATTCTCCCAATTGTCAGTATCTTTGCCTCCTACTCCCTTTAATCACAGTGAGTATTCCCTGAGGTGTGTGGGTGTGTTGACACGGCTGGGGCCTTCACTGAGCCATGCACTACCACTGCTACAGCCACACAGGACACAAAGCAGCTAAATCAATACAGTGATATAGCCTCTCTTTCCTGACCACTAATTCATTATAACTCTGTATGTCCTCTCCCTTCCCTCTTCTCACTCTGTCTGTCTTCTGCATTGCTTCTTTCTTTCTGTACCCTTTCTCTACCCTCTCATCTCTCCTCTCTTTCGCTCTCGTTGTCAGTGGGTGGCTAGGCTGGAAGAAACAGAGTGAGGAGGAGCCAACTCAGAAACAGAAGCCCAAGGTGGAGCCGGCCACGCCCCTGGCAGTCAGGTGACTCTTACATTTACATTTTAGTCATTTAGCAGACGCTCTTATCCAGAGCGACTTACAGTTAGTGAGTGCATACATTTTTCATACTGGCCCCCCGTGGGAATCGAACCCACAACCCTGGCGTTGCAAGCGCCATGCTCTACCAACTGAGCTACAGGAGACTCTTATCAGAAGAACTAGGAAACTGTTTGTTCTGCACACGCAATCTACGCAGTGAAATTGCCAAGTTATCTTATCACTTGCAAATGAATCAATTAGCCTCTCTATATATATATATATATATATATATATATTTTTTTTTTACATTTGTCACTTAACTGATTGCGTAGCCCAACTTCACCCTGTCCTCCCTCTCGTGTCCCGTCCTCAGGTTTGGTCTCCCAGACTCACGGCGTCACGGGGAGTCAATCTGTCTGTCCCCCTGTAACACTCTGGCTGGGGTCACGGACGACTTCGGCAGGGTCACTCTGCTTGACGTGGGGAGAGGCATAGCTATCCGCATGTGGAAGGGTGAGAGAGAGAAAAGCAAGGAAACAAAACATGAAGCGGATTTCACTTCTTTAGGAAAACAGACCTAATGTTGGAAACAAACATCATTCTGTTGTCATCCAGAGTTACATGTATTTATTTTCCAAGCTATAGCACACAATATTTTACATACAGCAGGTTTTTAAAGGACCAAAGAGTTTGGTCTGTTTGTGTTTTCATTTTTTCATGGAAAAAATATGACGATACTGGTATCATCACAGCCCTACTCATCAGTAAATGAATGATCTGGTTTAGTATAAAGACAGCTAATGTTGAGTAGGGTCTAGTTTTTGACTTGGAAAAAGGCCTTAGTTATATATCTAGTTATAATAACCTATTTCTGTGTGTTCCCTCCCAAAGGCTACCGGGACGCCCAGCTGGGTTGGGTACAGGTGTCTGAGGGGCGGGGCGAGCGCGAGTCCTCACCCTCTGCGCCCCTCCCACGGCGCCACGCCCAGTTCCTGGTCATCTACGCCCCCAGGAGAGGCATCCTGGAGGTTTGGGGCACACAGCAGGGGCCCAGAGTAGGAGCCTTCACTGTAGGGAAACACTGCAGGTACATACACACACAAAAACACACACACTCAGTTCTGATTGTATGTTTCTAAAGCATTTGAACTATTCTAACCAGTAACCATTTCCTTCTCTCCTATGTGTGTATGTGTCAGGTTGCTGTATGCAGGCTACCGGCTGATGGGGGTGAACAGTGTGACCAGTCAGGGCTGGCTGCTCCACACACAGCAGGTGTGTCTGTTCGACCCTGCTACTGGAGCACTACGCACTGTCACTGTCCCCTTCCATCTGGCCCTCAGGTGACTTCTCACACTAACACACACACACACACACACTTCGTAGTACAGTTGGGACATCTTGGGAATATCAGGAGTACAATTATTGGATTGTGAACGATTCTACACATACACAGCCTGTGTAGTTTTGCCAAAGGGATGTAATGATTATGTTCCCTGTGTCAGTGATAAGAAGAGTGAGAGGGCGAAGGACATGCACCTGCTGAAGAGACTGACCACACTATTGAAGAGCAGAGAGGTGGAACCAGGTATGACAGAAATGGAGGGAGAAATGAAGCGATGGAAGGATATCCTTTCCAGAAGTATTTGAACAGGGCAAACGAGAAGAGCTCTTTCCTACCTTTGACCTTCTCTCCACAGATATCCTGGAGAGCGAGGCCCAGAGTGTACTGCTGGACATCAAACACCCTGCCGTTAAGAAACAGGTCAACACACACACACACATGCATACAGTGCCTTGCAAAAGTATTTTGTTGCATTACAACCTGTAATTTAAATGGATTTTTATTTGCATTTCATGTAATGGACATACACAAAAGAGTCCAAATTGTTGAATTGGAATGAAAAAAATTACTGTATTCACCCCCTTTGCTATGAAGCCCCTAAATAAGATCTGGTGCAATCAATTACCTTCAGAAGTCACATAATTAGTTAGATTGCACACAGGTGGACTTTATTTAAGTGTCACATGTTCTGAAAGGCCCCAGAGTCTGCAACACCACTAAGCAAGGGGCACCACCAAGCAAGCGGCTCTCCAAACAGGTCAGGGACAAAGTTGTGGAGAAGTACAGATCAGGGTTGGGTTATAAAAAAAAAAAATAGCTGAAACTTTGAACATCCCACGGAGCGCCATTTAAATCCATTATTAAAAAATTGAAAGAATATGGCACCACAACAAACCTGCCAAGAGAGGGCCGCCTACCAAAACTCACAGACCAGGCAAGGAGGGCATTAATCAGAGGCAACAAAGAGACCAAAGATAACCCTCAAGGAGCTGCAAAGCTCCACAGTGGAGATTGGAGTATCTGTCCATAGGACCACTTTAAGCCGTACACTCCACAGAGCTGGGCTTTACGGAAGAGTGGGCAGAAAAAAGCCATGGCTTAAAGAAAAAAATAAGCAAACACGTTTGGTGTTTGCCAAAAGGGGGAGACTCCTCAAACATATGGAAGAAGGTACTCTGGTCAGATGAGACTAAAATTGAGCTTTTTGGCCATCAAGGAAAACGCTATGTCTGGCGCAAACCCAACACCTCTCATCACCCCGAGAACACCATCCCCACAGTGAAGCATGGTGGTGGCAGCATCATGCTGTGGGGATGTTTTTCGGCAGGGACTGGGAAACTGGTCAGAATTGAAGGAATGATGGATGGCGCTAAATACAGGGAAATTCTTGAGGGAAACCTGTTTCAGTCTTCCAGAGATTTGAGACTGAGACGGAGGTTCACCTTCCAGCAGGACAATGACCTTAAGCATACTGCTAAAGTAACACACGAGTGGTTTAAGGGGAAACATTTAAATGTCTTGGAATGGCCTAGTCAAAGCCCAGACCTCAATCCAATTGATAATCTGTGGTATGACTTAAAGATTGCTGTACACCAGCGGAACTCATCCAACTTGAAGGAGCTGGAGCAGTTTTGCCTTGAAGAATGGGCAAAAGTCCCAGTGGCCAGATGTGCCAAGCTTATAGAGACATACCCCAAGAGACTTGCAGCTGTAATTGCTGCAAAAGGTGGCTCTACAAAGTAGTGACTTTGGGGGGATGAATAGTTATGCACGCTCAAGTTCTGTTTTTTGTCTTATTTCTTGTTTGTTTCACAATAAAAAATATTTTGCATCTTCAAAGTGGTAGGCATGTTGTGTTAGTCAAATGATACAAACCAGGCAACAGAATAGGAAAAATGCCAAGGGGGTGAATACTTTTGCAAGCCACATAGTGGGGTCAGCACACCCAGGGAATGTGGTGTACTACTACTTACTGCCCTATGTCCTGCCCTTTAGGCCCTGGAGTCTCTGCTAGCCAATAAGAATGCTCCAGTGTCCTGTCTGACCAACATCACCCGAGTCTTACTGGCCAGTCTCAAAGGGCAAGGTACCGTGTATTCTGGATATCTATTGATAATTAATATCAAAACCATGTACATGTTTGTGTACAAATATGTGTCTTAATGCCTCTGTGTGTGTCTTAATGCCTGTGTGTGTGGGTTAATGCCTCTGTGTGTGGGTTAATGGCTGTGTGTGTGGGTTAATGCCTCTGTGTGTGTCTTAATGCCTCTGTGTGTGGGTTAATGCCTGTGTGTGTGGGTTAATGCCTGTGTGTGTGGGTTAATGCCTCTGTGTGTGGGTTAATGCCTGTGTGTGTGTCTTAATGCCTCTGTGTGTGGGTTAATGCCTGTGTGTGTGGGTTAATGCCTCTGTGTGTGGGTTAATGCCTGTGTGTGTTGCCTGTGTGTGTTGTCCCTCCAGACCCTGAGGCGGTAGATGAGGTGTTTTTCCAGTTGTGTTCCTCCCAGCTGAAACTGCTGCAGCTCTACACAGACATCCAACAGCTCCACTCTCCTGGGGAGGCCACCACAGACACACACACTGAACCTGTGAGTATAACAAACACTAAACAGACACACACACACACACACAGACTTGGTGAACCTGGTTGTACAGCAGTCTGACACTGAATTAACTAGCTACATTCAGAGCAGTTAACGGCAGGCCAATGCTGAGTTGCCAACAACACTCACCAATTTGGAATCTTAAACCACTCTTCTTTTTTTTCTCTCGTTCCACATCCTCCTTTCTAGACGGATGTTGCAGGTATAGAGGAGGAGCTGGCCCGTGTCTACCCTACCCTGCAGCGCTACACAGAGCTCACGTCCGGCTCCTGCCCCTCCGTCTCATTCGCCCAGGACTCCCCCGACGCATCACTTCCTGTCCGGAGCTTCCTGTCCCAGATGGAGTGTGAGGGAGAGGAGATCAGGGTAGTGCCAGGGGCCGACGGCGACTGGACACAGCTGGGTAGAATGAACACACACACAACACACAAAGACACACACACACACACACACGATTACCAATAAGTGTGTTAGAGGTTAGTCTGTGTGTGTGTTGTTTTTTCCCCTGTAGGGAGCTTTCTGTTCTGGGGCTGTCTGACAGGAGAGAGCCCTCTACAGAAAGTCTGTAACACACTGCAGGAGACCGGCATCAGCCCACAGCAACTACTGGTGAGGAGAGGAGGGAGGGAGGGAGGGAGGGAGGGAGGGAGGGAGGGAGGGAGGGAGGGAGGGGAGGGAGGGTGAGGTGGTGGAGGAATGAGAGGAAGCCGATTCAAGGAAGGGTTGATTTGGGTATGGGAGGAAGAATAGACCGTTTTGAAATAGAATTAAATGTAACTCATGCATGTTGTCTGTCCGTGTGTGTGTCTCTGTCCGTGTGTGTGTCTGTCCGTGTGTGTCTGTCCGTGTGTGTGTGTGTGTGTGTGTGTGTTTTCCTTCAGTCTTTGCTGCTGACTGTATGGCTGCACAGAGAGAAGGAAGTATTGAAGAAACCAGAGGCTGTCAGACACCTACACACATTGCTCACTGCCCTCAGCTCCATGAAAGGTGTGTGAGCACATCTTATTTCCAATGTGGTCTGTGCTGTGATGACATTGAGTTAGCAGTTGGCTTGTGGTTAGATGGTAGGTGGGTAGACTCCCATTGACTTCTGTAGACGTCTGTGTTTCTTCCTCCTCTCCGTAGGTGCGGTGGAGGAGTCGTGGGACATGCAGTGTGTCTCCCCCTGGTGGCAGCAGGTGCGGTCTGCGTGTGTCCAGTCCCACAGTGCTGCTGCCGCCCTGTTGGCTGCAATAGTGGCTCAATGCGCTGCTAAGGCTAACATCACCAGCCTGGCCGAAACCAAGGTCACACACACAAACACACACACACCACACATCACATACACATATAATCAGATAGCTCTGGCAAAGAAAAGGGTGAACACACACACACTGATATGTGTGCTTCGTCACTGATTCTTTGTGTGTGTGTGTGTATCAGTTCCAGTCGGAGTGGGAGGCGGTGTCGTTGGAGCTGGAACAGTGGGCGGTGTGTGTGAGACAGCTGGAGGACGTGTTGTCCCTGCAGACGCTGCTGTGTGTGCCTCCTCCTCAGGGAACACCAGGGGGCGCCACACCACACTGCTCAGTCAAAGCCCTGCTGGAGGGGGGCCGAGGTACTGGATACATACTATGAGAAATAAAAAGTCCATAATCCCTGAAGGAATCTCAGATCTGAGAGGGTTGGGATTGGTGAGAGTGATGAAGTGAAACTTTGCTTTCACCAATACAATTCACATATACAGTTGATCAGTGATTACCTACGCGCTCTCTCTCCCCTTCATTCACTCTCAGGTGGTATAGCAGACAGTGTGGCTAAGTGGGTGTTCAGGCAGGACTTGGCCCCTGAGCGGCTGAAGTACATGCTGCAGAGGAGCGGGGAGGCCAAGAGCATGGAACAGCCCAACCAGCCAGAGCAGGGGGAGGGAGGGAAGAGGCAGAAGGATGTAGACTTTAACAGGGCATCAGGTGAGTGGGTACTCCTGTGGTCACTAACCTGATTCCCCCATAGGGAAATGTGTTTGTTGTTGTTGTTGTTGTTGTATTAAAGTGTGTGTTCCTCCAGAGCTGCTGGTGTCTGTGTGCCAGCGTTTCCCAGACTCCCTCTCTCCTGACCTGCTGTTTGCCCACTGCTGCTGGGAGTACGTGGTGCAGTGGAACAAAGACCCAGAGGTGGGGCTCCATACAGTACCGGCACACAGACCTTCACATCTATACACATCTATACACACACACTCTCATCCTTACACACCTAGACACACACACTTACATCCATACACAACTATGCACACACACAGACACGCACATCCATACATCGGGTGGGTCTAATCCTGAATGGTGATTGGTTAAAACCGCATTCCAGCCAGAGTCTATTCCACAAGTTACAACAGGCTAAATCTATGATGTTAAAATGCCTATTTCAAATCAAATCAAATTTGATTTGTCACATGCGCCGAATACAACAGGTGTAGACCTTACCGTGAAATGCTTACTTACAAGCCCTTAACCAACAATGCAGTTCAAGAAATAGAGTTAAGAAAATATGTACTAAATAAACGAAAGTAAAAAAAATTAAATAAAAAGTAACACAATAAAATAACATTAGCTCTAGCCTTTGGCTTCTGGTTGGGATATGTACGTACGGTCACCGTGGGGACGACATCGTTGATGCACTTATTGATTTACTCTGTTCCATCTGACTGCACAATCCACTGTCTCATCAGCCCAGCAATGTATAAACTTGGTCTCTACTATAAAAAGCATCTAGACATTATCTCACATTTCTTTTAGACTAACATTTTGTTTTCAACAGCAGAGATTTGTATAAACCTTGCTGTCTGTCTTTCCGACATTTGCAACATTGTTTCAATATTCAAATTTGATGTCCAGCTGTCACATAGTAATGAACGTGTCGGGAGGAGACAGACAGGCAGGCAGCTTTTCTCAGCCAGTCGAAATCATGAATCATGAAATCGCGCATCATTAGCTCACTGTTATGGATATATCCAAATAAATGGCACTAGATAACAGCTTAAACAAATGCAAATGCAGTTACTTTGTTGTTAATCTGGGTGTACTGTTTGACGTGACTGTAAATTAGCCGTAGTTGACTAGCTAGCAAGCAAGGGATAAGAACGTTGGCAGCTAGTATGGCAATATAACATTTAGAATGAAAGACTGGGTTGCATCCATAGATACGGAACAAAAAGACTTAACGACTGTGTCACGTCTCTGGCAACCGAACCGATAGAACGAACGACCAGCCGGCTTGGGTAACAACCCTAGATTTGTGTCAGGACTATATCTCGTGGAAGGATGAAATAGTAATGAAAATATGTCAATCATTATTTGAATATGTTGGTAACCTAGTGTATAAAAGTGACAATGCCCCTGAAGCCAGTGTTTGGAGGACTTCGTCTTGGGCCTAACAACACCTATGCCAATATATCCACCAAACACCGGCTTCTCTGGCATTATCACTTAACTATATACCGACAGGTTGAGGTGTACAATTAAATGTTTTGTTGTCTCTCGCTCTCTCTCTGTAGGAGGGAAGGTTTCTGTGTTGGGCGGTGGAACACCTGAAGCTAGTCTCAAGTCCTCACATCCAACTGGGTGAGACTATACTTCATCTTATGCAATATTCACTCAGTGTGTCTTCAGTGTGTCCCTTCGTTTGTGCTATAAGATGACTCTCTTTCTCCTGCAGGCATCTGTTCAATGATGTGGAACACGTTCATCGTTAAACGTTTCTCAGCTGCTGCTTTCCTTATGGAGAAGGTGAACAGAATATTAGGGATGTGCATCTTTCCCTTTCAACACGATTCAATATGTATCTAGATACATGGGCTCCGATACGATACAGGAACGATACGTTTTAGTTTGAAATGAATCAATGCGATTCGGTTCGATATGATTCGAGGCACTAACATTTGTTGCATAAACATTAAATTTTCCAGTCTAAATTAAAATCTGCTGCTGATGGATCTCATGAGCTGGGCCTCTGAGCTGGATCTGTCTGAGCTGACTTCTCTCTCTCTTTGTGTGTGTGTGTGTAAATTATGAACAAAACTATAAACGCAACATGCAACAAAGACTTTACTGAGTTACAGTTCATATAAGGAAATCAGTCAATGGAAATAAATAAATTAGGCCCTAATCTATGGATTTCTCATGACTGGGAATACAGATATGCATCTGTTTGTCACAGATACACTACATGACCAAAAGTACACCACCTCGTCGAACATCTCATTCCAAAATCACGGGCATTAATATGGAGTTGGTCCCCACTTTGCTGCTATAACAACCTCCACTCTTCTGGGAGGGTTTCCCACTAGATGTTGGAACATTGATGCGGGGACTTGCTTCCATTCAGCCATAAGAGCATTAGTGAGGTCAGGCACTGATGTTGGGCGATTAGGCCTGGCTCGCAGTCGGCGTTCCAATTCATCCCAAAGGTGTTCGATGGAGTTGAGGTCAGGGCTCTGTGCAGGCCAGACAAATTCTTCCACACCGATCTTGACAAACAATTTCGGTATGGACCTCGCTTTCTGCACGGGGGCATTGTCATGCTGAAACAGGAAAGGGCCTTCCCCAAACTTTGTGCCACTGTAGTGTTAAGATTTCACTTCACTGGGACTAAGGGGCCTAGCCCGAACCATGAAAAACAGCCCCAGACCATTATTCCTCCTCCACCAAACTTTACAGTTGGCACTATGCATTTGGGCAGGTAGTGTTCTTCTGGCATCCGCCAAACCCAGATTAGTCCATCGGACTGCCAGATGGTGAAGCGTGATTCATCACTCCAGAGAACTCGTTTCCACTGCTCCAGAGTCCAATTGTGGCAAGCTTTACACCACTCCAGCCGAAGCTTGGCATTGCACATGGTAGTCTTAGGCTTGTGTGCGGCTGCTCGGCCATGGAAACCCATTTCATGAAGCCCCTGACAAATAGTTATTATGCTGACATTGCTTCCAGAGGCAGTTTGGAAGTCAGCAGTCGGCGGTCCCATTCTGTGAGCTTGTGTGGCCTACCAATTCGCGGCTGAGCCGTTGTTGCTCCTAGATGTTTCCACTTCACAATAACAGCACTTACAGTTGACCGGGGCAGCTCTAGCAGGGCAGAAATTTGATGAACTAGAAAGGTAGCATCCTATGATGATGTCACGTTGAAAAGTCACTGAGCTCTTCAGTAAGGCCGTTCTATTGCCAATGTTTGTCTTTGGAGATTGCATGGCTGTGTCCTTGATTTTATACACCTGTCAGCAACGGGTGTGGCTGAAATGGCCTAATCCAATCATTTGAAGGGGTGTCCACATACTTTGTATATATATAGTGTACATAAAAATAAAGTTAGGGCCGTGGATCAGAAAATCAGTCAGTATCTGGTGTGACCACCATTTGCTTCATGTGGCGCAACACATCTCCTTCGCATAGAGTTGATCAGGCTTTTGATTGTGGCCTGTGGAATTTTGTCCCACTCCTCTTCGATGGCTGTGCGAAGTTTCTGGATGTTGGCGGGAACTGGAACACGCTGTCGTACATATCAAATCAGAGCATCCCAAACATGCTCATTTTCAGCTTCCAAGACCTGTGTACAGATCCTTGCGACATGGGACCATGCATGAGGTGATGTCAGCGGATGAATGGCACAACAATGGGCCTCAACTCATCATGGTATCTCTGTCCATTCAAATTGACATCGATAAAATGCAATTGTGTTCGTTGTCCGTAGCTTATGCCTGCCCATACCATAACCCCATTGACACCATGGGGCACTCTGTTCACAACGTTGACATCAGTAAACTGCTCACCCACACAACTGCCATCTGCCCGGTACAGTTGAATCCGGGATTTATTTTTATTTTTGATTTAACTAGGCAAGTCAGTTAAGAACAAATTCTTATTTACAACGACGGCCTACACCGGCCAAACCCGGACGACGCTGAGCCTATTGTGCGCTGCCCTATGGGACTCCCAATCACGGCCGGTTGTGATACAGCCTGGAATTGAACCAGGGAGTCTGTAGTGATGCCTCAAGCACTGCGACGCAGTGCCTTAGACCGCTGCGCCACTCGGGAGCCCAATTAATCCGTGAAGAGCTTTTCAGTGTGCCAGTGGCCATCGAAGGGGAGCATTTGTCCACTGAAGTCGGTTACGACGACAAACTGCAATCAGGTCAAGACCCTGGTGAGGACTATGAGCACGCACATGATTCTTCAGTTGTGCAAACCCACAGTTTCATCAGCTGTCTGGGTGGCTGGCCTCAAACGAAGAAGCCGGACGTGGAGGTCCTGGGCTGGCATGGTTACACGTGTCTGCGGTTGTGAGCCCGGTTGGACGTATTACCAAATTCTGTAAAATGATGTTGGAGGTGGCTTATGGTAGAGAAATTAACATTACATTCTGGTGGACGGACATTCCTGCAGTCAGCATGCCAATTGCATCTGTGACATTGTGTTGTGTGACAAAACTGCACATTTTAAAGTGGCCTTTTGTTGCACCTGTGTAATGATAATTTTGTTTAATCAGCTTCTTGATATGCCACACCTGTCAGGTGGATGGATTATCTTGGCAAAGGAGATATGCTCATTAACAGGGAGGTAAATTTGTGCACAACAATTGAGAAAAATAAGCTTTGTTTGTGTATGAAACATTTCTGGGATCTTTTATTTCAGCTCATCGGACCAACACTTTACATGTTGCGTATATATTTTTGTTCAGTATATACAGTATGTCTGGTGTACAGTGAGGGGAAAAAAGTATTTGATCCCCTGCTGATTTTGTACGTTTGCCCACTGACAAAGAAATTATCAGTCTATCATTTTAATGGTAGGTTTATTATAAAAGACACCTGTCCACAGAAGCAATCAATCAATCAGATTCCAAACTCTCCACCATGGCCAAGACCAAAGAGCTCTCCAAGGATGTCAGGGACAAGATTGTAGACCATCGCCAAGCAGCTTGGTGAGAAGGTGACAACAGTTGGTGCGATTATTCGCAAATGGAAGAAACACAAAATAACTGTCAATCTCCCTCGGCCTGGGGCTCCATGCAAGATCTCACCTCGTGGAGTTGCAATGATCATGAGAACGGTGAGGAATCAGCCCAGAACTACACGGGAGGATCTTGTCAATGATCTCAAGGCAGCTGGGACCATAGTCACCAAGAAAACAATTGGTAACACACTACTCCGTGAAGGACTGAAATCCTGCAGCGCCCACAAGGTCCCCCTGCTCAAGAAAGCACATATACAGGCCCGTCTGAAGTTTGCCAATGAACATCTGAATGATTCAGAGGAGAACTGGGTGAAAGTGTTGTGGTCAGATGAGACCAAAATCGAGGTCTTTGGCATCAACTCAACTCGCCGTGTTTGGAGGAGGAGGAATGCTGCCTATGACCCCAAGAACACCATCCCCACCATCAAACATGGAGGTGGAAACATTATTCTTTGGGGGTGTTTTTCTGCTAAGGGGACAGGACAACTTCACCGCATCAAAGGGACGATGGACGGGGCCATGTACCGTCAAATCTTGGGTGAGAACCTCCTTCCCTCAGCCAGGGCATTGAAAATGGGTTGTGGATGGGTATTCCAGCATGACAATGACCCAAAACACACGGCCAAGGCAACAAAGGAGTGGCTCAAGAAGAAGCACATTAAGGTCCTGGAGTGGCCTAGCCAGTCTCCAGACCTTAATCCCATAGAAAATCTGTGGAGGGAGCTGAAGGTTTGAATTGCCAAACGTCAGCCTCGAAACCTTAATGACTTGGAGAAGATCTGCAAAGAGGAGTGGGACAAAATCCCTCCTGAGATGTGTGCAAACCTGGTGGCCAACTACAAGAAACGTCTGACCTCTGATTGCCAACAAGGGTTTTGCCACCAAGTACTAAGTCATGTTTTGCAGAGAGGTCAAATACTTATTTCCCTCATTAAAATGCAAATCAATTTATAAACATTTTGACATGCGTTTTTCTGGATTTTTTTGTTGTTATTCTGTCTCTCACTGTTCAAATAAACCTACCATTAAAATTATAGACTGATCATGTCTTTGTCAGTGGGCAAACGTACAAAATCACCAGGGGATCAAATCCTTTTTTCCCTCACTGTATGTAGGCATCTGAGCTAAGCCATGAAGGAGACTGGGCATCTACCATCCCACTATCAGATAAGGGGGGGCAATGTTTGCTTTTTGATCTGAATTCACCATCACCCACTAATTAATTTGTAATTTTTGCAGATTCAAAGTGTTTGAGCGAGTAATGTATCAATATTCATCTTTAAAATGAATAAATAGCATAACTTTTTGGATTTCACCCCGTCTCCAAATCGAATGGTTTAGACCGTTTTGGAAGTTTTTATGGAGTTACTTTTTTCTCATCCTGCTTCACCCATGCAGTGCAAGTAGCAAAAATGATTTCAGTCCTCGTTATGAAATTATCATCTTTACCCTGTATATCTAAAAATGACCATATACACTGTTTTAAAGCAAAACTACACAAACTATTGCTGAACCTGAACAATCAAAATAAAATCTAATGTAGCCTACGCCCCAACCAGCAAGTAGGCTATAGCCAGATTACTAGACTAAACTCCACTCTATTGTGAAGGAAGTTTCTGATGACTCACCAACCCGAGTGGAGCAGAGCCCAGGTGTTGTGGAATCTAGCTCCGACTACATTGATTCACCCAAGGTCAATACTTCAAAGAAATGTAAATTATGAAACGTCTACCTTGTATCTGTGTTTGTCCTCTGTAGTTACCTGTCTTTCTTTGTTTGCCAAAATCCATACTTTTTCAATAAACTTTCATCAAAAACAACCACTGACTGTTTGCTCATTGCTGTTGCTCTAAGATGGCAACTCAGCGCATGTGCCAATTGAATCTCAACAAGGAAAAAGTCGGTGGTTGTATTTAATTAACGTTTATTGAACATGTATGTATTTCAGCAAACAAAGAAAGGCAAACATAGGTACAAGGTACGCGATCGATAATTACATTTATTTGAAGTATTGACCTTGGGCGAATCGATGTAGTTGGTGCTAGGTTCCACAAAGCCTGGTCTCTGCTCCACTCCGTTTGTGGAGTCATCAGAATCTTCCTTCACCAAGGAGTGTGAGTTTAGTCCACAAAGCCAGATCAGAGTTGTCTCCAGCGGTAGTTTAGGCTACTTTAATCCGGTAAAACAAACTTTTCAACAGCGCCTTTGATAACAATAACCTTGAAATTACATTGGTTGAACTTGTTACTGAACTAATAAAGCCTAATATTGCGCAAGCCATTTTACAAACATTTGAGTGCTGAACACAGCTTGACAATGCACAGCTTGACTAGGCTACTGATATTGCCTGGAGTTGTTGACTTGTTGATCAATGACTGTCAACACAGTTACACGCTCGACACTGAAGGAGAGGTAGAAATAAAGTAATATGAGCCAAAAATGTTAGTGAACCGGAGATTCGTAACGTTTGAATCAATTTTCTGACTGATTCACGCTACATTTGGATCGGTTTGGGGTCCCGCGGACCGATACAGTCTTATCTTAAACATTTGAACCGGGGACCTTTGAATATTGGTGAATCGTTACATCCCTACAGAATATGTTCATCAGAACTCTCTCACATACAAACATATTCTATAGGGATGTAACGATTCACCGATACGCATCGGTCCCCGGTGCGTCCTGATCATGATTCTGATCATGATTCTCTTTATAATGCTCAAACTGATCGTCTGTTTGTGTTTCCTCTTCACAGGTGGGGAAGGCCCCTAAGGACCGCCTGTGTCGACGGGTGAGCAGCCCTGCCCTATTCAGCCTTACAGCTACATGTCTGCCTCTCTGATTGGGACTTTGTTTTGGCTGTGAATAGATGTGTACATAACGGTATATAACGTCTATCTGTGTATGTATTCAGGATGTGGGAATGGGAGACTGCGCCATGACATCATTCCTGGGTTCCTGTGTTCAGCTGCTACAGATTCTGATGGAGGTACGGATCAAAAAAGATGGATGGATGCATACGGTTGGGCAGATTAAAATGTTTCCCTGCGCTGTAGCACAGGTAAAAAGCATGTGCTGCATGCAAAGTGGATATAAGTGCACGTCACCATGCAAGAGAGTTTGTCACAGTAACGATGTACCATTACTGCAGCACAGGGATTTTGAAAAATAACTTTTGAACTAAAGCATCTGTAGATGCACAGATAGACTGCACTTTGGTTGATTTTATAGTGATACTGGCAAGTGAGGCTGGTCCTTGGTTACTCTGAACCCCTCTCCCCCTCTCCTCCAGGCAGACTCGGGGGTAGAAGAGGTGAATCCTCCAGAGCTGTGTGTGGAGGAGGTGTGGGGGAGAGCAGAGGGACCTGCCTCCATAGCAGAGTTAGCCCTGGAGCAGAAGGGAGTTCACTACCCCCTTGTACAACACCACTGTCTCCTGGCCTCTCTACTCCACACTGCTATGACCTTCAGTCTCAGGGTCAAACCACTCAGCCTGTTCGACAGCAAGGTGAGACAAGCACGTGGCATAAACCAAAGAGTACACACATGCATAACACCTACAGCAGGGTTTCCCAACCCTCTCCTCTGACCCCACCCAGACGTTTCACATGTTTGTTTTAACCCTAAACTGGCACACCTGATTCAATTAGTCACAGGCTTGATGATTAGTTTACTAATTGAATCAGGGGTGCCAGTTTAGGGTTAAAACAAAAATTTGAAACGTCTGGGGGGGCCCGAGGAAAGGGTTGGGAAACACTGACCTACACTATACTCACTGCAAGTCTTTCCTTCTTCCAGGGTAAGAATGCCTTCTTCAGAGAGCTGTCGTCCATCCAGCTGATGCCCAGTGGAGACATGGACCATGGCCTGGTCTCCCTCAGACAGGAGTTTCTGCTCAGGGTGTTGACAGGCTGGGTGACGACCCAGAGGGAGGCGGGGAGAGGCTCCTGCATCCACTCGGCCGGGCCCTGGGTCTGGGTCAGGGGACAAGACGTGGCCCTCTCTGTGTCTGGACCTGGGGCTCCTGCTGCAGGTCAACCCAGACCTCCTGCGCAGACATCTGGTGTGTGAGCTGTACAACCAGGGCCTGGACCCCCGGGCAGAGCAGGTAGGTAGTCATAAACACCAACAAGTCCCTCAATACACATCTGCTGGTAACTGGATAGAAACTGATATGAACACATACTAACACATATAACATACACTCACGGGCCGGTTTATTAGGTACACCCATCTACTAACGGGTCGGAACCCTCTTTTCCTTCAGAACAGACTGAATTCTTCGGGGCATTCTACAAGGTGTTGGAAATGTTCCACATGGATTTTGGTCCATGCTGACGCAATGGCATCACGCAGTTGCTGCAGATTGGACGGTGGTACATTCATGCTGCGAACAGCCCATTCCATCTCATCCCAAAGATGCTCTATTGGGTTGAGGTCTGGGGACTGTGCAGGCCACTCAAGTAAACTGAACTCGCTGTCATATTCCAGGCAATGTTTTTCCACTCCTCAATTTTCCTTTTCCATTTTAGTCATTTAGCAGACGCTCTTATCCAGAGCGACTTACAGGAGCAATTAGGGTTAAGTGCCTTGCTCAAGGGCACATCGACAGATTTTTCACCTAGTCGGCTCGGGGATTAGAACCAGCGACCTTTCGTTACTGGCACAACGCTCTTAACCACTAAGCTACCTGCCGTCCAGTGTTGGTGATCGAATGTCCACTGGAGCCGCTTCTTCTTGATTTTAGCTTATAGGAGTGGAACCTGGTGTGGTTGTCTGCTGCAATAGCCCATCCGTGAAAAGGATTGAGGAGTTGTGCGTTCCGATGCCGTTCTGCACTCCACTGATGTACTGCGCAGTTATTTGTCTGTTTGTGGCCCGCCAGCTTGCACGGTTCTTGCCATTCTCCTTCGATCTCTCTCATCAACAAGCTGTTTTCACCCAAAGGACTGCTGCTGACTGGATTTTTTTTGTCTGTCGCACCATTCGCGGTAAACCTGGGCGGCCGTTTCTGAGATACTGGATTCGGCATGCCTGACACTGACGATCATACCATGCTCAAAGCCGCTTAGGTCACTCGTTTTGTCCATTCTAACGTTCAATAGAACAGTAACTGAATGACTCGATGCCTGTCTGCCTGCTTTATATAACAAGCCACGGCCACGTGACTCACTGTCTGTAGGAGCGATCCATTTTCGTGAACAGGTGGTATACCTAATAAAACTATCCGATGTGTACAGTGTATTCGGAAAGTATTCAGACCCCTTACCCGTTTCCACATTTTGTTACATTACAGCCTTATTCTAAAATTGATTAAATTGTTTTTTCCCCTCATCAATACCCCATAATGACAAAGCAAAAACAGTTTTTTAGAAATTGTTGCTAATTTATAAAAAATTAAACTGAAGTATGACATTTACATAAGTATTCAGACCCTTTACTCAGTACTTTGTTGAAGCACCTTTGGCAGCGATTACAGCATCAAGTCTTCTTGGGTATGACGCTACAAGCTCTGTCAGAGTAACCATCAGGTTCTTGGTCACCTCCCTGACCAAGGCCCTTCTCCCCCAATTGTTCAGTTTGGCAGGGCGGCCAGCTCTAGGAAGAGGCTTGGTGGTTCCAAACTTCTTCCATTTAAGAATGATGGAGACCACTGTGTTCTTGGGGACCTTCAATGCTGCAGAAATGTTTTGGTACCCTTCCTACGATCTGTGCCTCAACACAATCCTGTCTCGGAGCTCTACGGACAATTCATTCGACCTCATGGCTTGGTTTTTGCGCTGACATGCACTGTCAACTGTGGGACCTTTATATACATTTACATTTACGTCATTTAGCAGACATATAGACAGGTGTGTGCCTTTCCAAATCATGTCCAATCAATTGAATTTACCACAGGTGGACTCTAATCAAGTTGTAGAAACATCTCAAGGATGATCAATGGAAACAGGATGCACCTGAGCTCAACTTCGAGTCTCATAGCAAAGGGTCTGAATACTTATGTAAATAAGGTATCTGTTTTTGTTTTTTTATAAATTGGCTAAAATTTCGAAAAACCCTGTTTTTGCTTTGTCATTTTGGGGTATTGTGTGTAGATTGCTGAGGAATTTTATTAAAATTTAATCCATTTTAGAGTAAGAATAACGTAACAAAATGTGGAAAAGGTCAAGGGGTCTGAATACTTTCCGAAGGCACTGTACATATTCGTACACTCATGTTACTTGTCATATTTAATGACAAGTAACTTTATACACACAATGAATATGATCACTCACACAAAATACATTAAGTAACTGAAGCCTGTGTGTGTGTTGTCAGGTGATGTTGGAGGTGGAGGATAAGGACGTGTTGGGTTCCCAGCTGTTGGTTCTAACAGGCCAGAGGCTTAGCTACTCCCTGCTCCACACCCAGACCCAGACCCAGCCCGCCATGGAGCTGCTGGCACGCCTCCCCCCCACACTCTGCACCTGGCTCAAGGCTATGGTGAGACCAATCTCTGTGTTACCTTATAACATGTTATATCCACTGTAGAACACCTGGCTCAAGCTGCTTAAAAGCATCTGTCTCAAGCCTATAGCGAGATTTACCAGCCACCTGAATACACACTATAACCACGTTATGGCACCTTCATAACACCTGTCTTAAGGCCATGGTGAGACCAGCTAGTCTTCTGTGTCACCCTATAACCAATTAACAGCATATTGTGTAACTGTAATTCAACCACCTAGTTTTGTGTGGGTTACTGATGCTATTCATGTGTATCTCTGTGTGTGTGTTGTCCCCAGGACCCCAGTGAGCTGGGGTGCCCGTCGGTGCCCCTGAGCCAGACCAGCAGGCTGGTGAGCCGCCTCATAGAGATTCTACCTGAGAACCACGGCCAGTACAACCTGGCACTACACCTACTGGAGGCTGTGGAGGACCTGCAGGGAGAGGACTGAGAGAGGGGGCGTGGGGAGAGAGGACTGAGGGAGAGGAGGGAGGACTGAGGGGACAGAGAGAGAGAGTAGAAGAGAGGGAACTTGATGGCTTCTTGCAATTTCCTTCTTGCTTTCCTTGCTAGCATCCAGGATCGGAGCGAGAGAGGTAGTGAACTGGTGAATTTCCTATCATGTACAGTACAGGAAGCAGAGGTACCCTGTTTTTATGAGAGGGAGGCTTATGTGTTCAGTTGAAAAAGTGTTGAATCTAATTAAGCGTAAATGAAAGAGGGAGGGGGGGTAGGATGGGTTTTTAATTATTTAATTCAATCCAGTGCTCACTCATCTTACTCTGATTCAAATAAGTAACATATTGTATTAGATTGATCAATGTTTAAGTCTGCATTTCTGAAGGGGATATGATGGGCTAGATGGAGTTGGATATGTCATTTGTGTCACTTTCTACTGGTCAATTATTTTTACTTTGTCTCTCAGCTATACCTAGCAGCCCTTGTATGTACTGTACTCCCTTTTAACTCAGACTTAACGACCCACTCAAAGGGGGTTGCAGGGTGTGTGCCATATGATTGTTCAGTAAGCATCCCTTCCTCCTCAGCTGTCCCTCAGATTAGTGATGATGTATGATAAACAGACCTGTTATTTATACATGCTGCAGTACTACTAGCTATGCCTGTACCCACTGTACTGTTCTGTAGTTGTAATCTAGACACTGGCTGAGGGACCCCACTGGGGGCAGACAGCAGAATAAACAGTTAACACTGGTCATTTTTTAAATTTTTAGTCATTTAGCAGACGCTCTTATCCAGAGCGACTTACATTTTTTCATACTGCCCCCCCGTGGGAAATGAACCCACAACCCTGACTTTGCAAGCGCCATGCTCTACCAACTGAGCTACATGATGGTAATTTCCAAACGGTAGCAGTACATGGCTGCGTTGAGTATGGAAAAAAACTGCAACAGTGCTGTTCTGAACCTGTTGAAACACGTGGAGAGGTTGGGTTGTGGGTTAAATGTACCACTGCCCTTTAAATACTTCACTCATCGCTTCAACCCACACCCACCAAATGGAGCAAACGTACTTCAAAGTCTGTTCAATGTTTTTGGGAAACGTGACGTTCAGTAAAAACCGCCACGCAACGTAGTAAACGTTGAATCGAACTGAATGCGCCCCGGGATTCTCTCCAGACCATTCAAGTTGACAGACTCAGATATTTATAACGTTTTGTAACATTTGTACCCTACTGAGTGACACCTTGGTTTTTTCTGGAGTTCAAAGGGTATAGGAATCACTGGTTTAAAAGAGGACTTTTAGGAATATTGTGCCTATTTGGCTTCCAAGTGTATTTTACTGATCATCCTTTATTTAATGGATTTGGTATAAGTGGACAGGGATAGGAGTACTATACAGATTATCATTAAACATGAATAAAAACTAAAAACCAAAGCGCTCAGTGTTGTACCATCCCCTATACATCCTTTAATACACAATAATCTGACCCGATGACTTGATTCTCTCAGTAGGTATATTACTGCACTCTGTGCCTCATAGGAGAGGTCCAGGAGTATCAATACATTTCCCTTTCTAGGAAACATCACTGAAACCTTACTGATGTGTGCTGTTCTTTGGGAGAGGTGTCGTACGAACTCAAAAGGACTGCATAGCTCTTATACCAAATGACAATTCCCTCCTATTTGTCAAATGAATAATAAATAAAAATGAGTGCTTTGTTTTACGAAGCCTGTCTTGTAAACCATCCATCCTCACTCTGCATGCAGCAACAATATGCCAGAGTCAATGTCAGTTGAAGAGCTGAAAAATTGTAGGTAATGTCGTTTAGGTAACTGCCAGACAGTCAGGCTGTCGCTCTGTTACCCCTCTCAGTGCATTGCTAAGCAGGGTGTTTTCTTTGTTGACCCCTGGTTGTACGGGGTCAGTTCAAGCAGACAGACCAGGTCAGAGGGCCATTTGCAGGTTGTCATGGTGACAGTGCGGGCGGCGGTGTCACTGCGCCCTGGTAAGGATGGTCTGGCAGCGGGGGCAGGGGCAGTCTGGAGAGTCTGAGGTGTACCGGCGGCACCTCGGGCACCGGGCCATGGAGGTGGGCACTGCCGCTACTTGGTAAGCACTGTCCTCACGGATAACCCCACCTGATTGGACAGAGAGGGAAGGTTACTAGGGGCTATGATCAGGGAGGTTACCAAGGTCGTATTCATTAGTGCACACCAGACACCATATTAAAACATTTTGCAAGAGAAAACGTTTCATAACAAAAAAATTTCTTATTCGACAAGTTAAGGTTTGGTGTCTAGTGAATACAACCCAGGTTACTGTATGACCCCTAAAATACTTAGGTCTTTTGAACCAACTATGGCTGCGTTTAGACAGCCCAATTCTGATATTTCTTACACCAATTGGTGTTGACCAATCACATCAGATCTTTTTTAGAGCTGATATGTTTCATCAAAATACCAATTAGTGAAAAAAAGATCAGAATTGGGCTGCCTGTAAACACAGCCTAAGGTCTAGATTCAATCAGATCAAGTGTTTACTGGCGATCGCAGACACCCGCATAGCTTAAGTTTTGGAGGTGTCTGAGGTAGTGTTGTCACGATACCAAAATTGACTTAGAGATACTGATATCAGGTTTAGTATCACAATACTCGATACCAAAACAATATCACAGCAAAAAAAAAGGCATATTAGCCAAAGTCACAGAATGGCACTTGTTACAGACAGAAACTCAACTACTGCTATTTTCAATATCAGATGTTTTTTTTTACATCCATTTTTTTTTTTTTTTTACAACCATGTATGCATTAATAAGTCAATGATACAATCAATTTAACCAATCTAACTACATAATGGTAATCATTTATTTGAATGGTAAATCAAGACGTAGCCTTGGCCTATTCACAATATACAGGTGAATGAATGCATATTCAATAGGAGTGCATGCAAATGCAAATGCATTGAGTTATTGAGCTTGTTTAGGCTGATTTCATGGTGCTACAGATGACAAACAATTTGGCCTCCCTTAATAAATAAAAAAAGTATACAATAATAGCCAATCAGCGTTGCGATAAACTGAGTGAGCTCAACTGTGAATGGTCCTGGAGCACCAAAACAAAAAGTGTAAAGGGAAGCCAGTTTGGATTTGGCTTCACACCAATCACATCACATCAAGCCAAACGTCTAATTGTTGCATCTTGTTGTGTTGTCCTCCGGTGGCTAGCTAGCTAAAATTGGACCTTTCCTAAATTAGCCATGCACGGATATAGGGATTTGGACTTGTGGTTTTACTTCATTTTAAGTACTGGCCAATGATTATAACGGCGATTCTGATCCAACCATAAATTCATACATTGTTGTGCCCCTGGCCTGAGAGGATGGAATTTCAATATGTAGCTAGATGTAGTAGGTTAATGTTAACTTGCTAACGTTGCCCATGAAAGGAAGACTAGCGAGCAAGCATTTTAGCCAGGTAGCCTAGGACAACAAAAACTAAAAGCGTGTACTGTATTAGAGAGTTATAAACCGTTTCGGCAACATGAGGATGTCATTTGCGTTCCTCTACAAGTAGGGTAAGTCAGCGTGTTTTTTCTACTTACGCACACACACAGAAATCAGTACCATGGACTTGCACATGATATCTTACGTTGATTGGACTAAATCGGTTTTGGAATCTTTTAGTTGTCACTGTATTAGACTAAGCATGATGTTGAAAAGTGGTGCTGGAATAGTGGAGGCAGCTCCTGTTTTCTGTGTGGGACTTGCGGTAACGCGCCGTGGTTCCGAAAATGTCGGCAACATTAACTTCATTGACCATGCTGTAGGTCATGTAACTGTTTGTTACATACAATATGCTTTGTGGACTCCACCGGACAGATGTTGCTCTCCGGTTTTGTGATGAAAAAAAGGTGTGGCTGAATTTATTCTGCCACTGTGTCTTCTTATAGTTTCGGCCTTAGGCCTATATATATCATAGTGGGAAGGCATATGAACTAACAGGTTATAGAGCAAACAACGCAATTATCACAACACATAGGTTGCAACCAAGGGACGTAATGGTTAAAATAAAGGGGTAAACTATTGACTCCAGTGGGTGATCGAGTTAAGACGAACAACCACCAATATAAACCAAAACATAAGACATTTTTAGAAATGTATTGTTTGATTGCAATTTCATGCAGGTCTATTGGGAAGGCCTAATGTAATTTTCTATAGTAAAAAATGACAATATGCACATCACGTTCATGTTCTTAGTATCTCATGTGAGCTGCACTGCAATTCAGTTTTCTGTATTGCTTAAGTGCACCTGTATAAAAAGCCCTTAGTTTAATCTAAAATGTTGTATTCTATACCCATTTGAAGAGAAACAAGTTATTCATGTGTTTGATAAGATTAAAGATTCTCTCAGGGGACCCAAATTAAACTTTAGGGGACCCCATATGAGTCCCCGACCCCAAGTTTGGGAACCACTGTACTACTAACCTCTCTCTGCTTGCATCCTATCTGTGTCTCCTCCATTGCAGCCTGCCTCACCAGCAATGTTCCCTCTAAGCTGCGTGTGCGCAGTAGACCCGAGACTGACGTGCATCTCCCCTGGGACTGCCGCGCAGAAATATCAACCCACAGAGAGAAGCACGAGATTGAACTTCACTCAACTTTCTAGAGCAGTGGTCACCAACCGGTCGATCGCTAACGACTGGTCCATCTACAAGGCATTCCTAGTTGATTGCCAAACATCTCTCTTAAAAACCCAACGATAAAGCCTTGTGTTCCTTTTTTTTTTTTGTCTCGGGCTGTTACTGGTAGGTGGCACCCGATTCAGCTGCCATGCACGCCAGGTAGGCGAACTGTTGCCATTTTGAAACATTTAATGTGTCTGAAGGTACAAACTCTGCCTTCCCGGCGGGCCCAGAGAGCAGATCAAGTGCACTATAAGCCTACCGCTGGCCAATCAGATGGCTCAGATGACAGTGTCTGCAGTAACGTAGCAGGCATAAAAGAAAGCTACAGCAAAGTTGATACTGTGAGATTTCAAAATGTTTAAAACCATGACTAGAGAGAGCCTGTCAAAGAATACAGCAAAGAAATGCTGTTTTTATGAATGAGTTCATGTTTAAGTTCTTACTCAGCACTGTAAACACTTTGTATTCAACACTTTTATAAGCCATAAAATGCACACAGTCTTCCCATTTCCACTCAGCGCTACAACAAGCACTGCAGTAGTACTGAATGAGTAGGAAAGTGTATCTATAGGCTTGCGTTGTTATTATTAGCGGCTTGGGTCTTCTTTAATATCGGGGAATATTTCACTTTCTCTGTTCATAGGAGTAACAACATTAATTTGTGCAAGAGGCAAAAATAATGTGGTGTGACTCGAGTTTCGCCATCATCTGGAAGACGGTGTCCCTTTTTGGTCAGTGTCAGTGGAGGAAAGGGAGAGTGGAGGGATGTTGAGAGGTGGACCCTAAGTCTGCTGCGCTCTTCCTCCGCTGAGACTGACCATCAGCTGCAGGCACCATCAGCCCAGTAAAATAAAAAGCAAATTATTTAAATGTATGCTCACTCAGCTGTGCTTCACAAGTAATACAACAACAGATCTATTACCGGTGTGATCAAATAAATAAAAAAGTCCCGAACAACAATGCATTGGCAGGGCAATTCAAGCAAAGCCAATATGCGGTGATAATGTATTGGGCCTATAGCCTAGAGCCCTGTTTTTAATGTTGCATAGACTTACGTTTTGTTAAAAAAAAAAATCTGAGCGGTAGATCTCGGCTTGCATTTTGACTCAAAGTGATCTTGACACAGAAAAGGTTGGTGACCACTGTTCTAGAGTTTTCCCTGTTAACACTATCAACGTTTCCCTTTACTTTGGCAATTGTGATCCAATCAATGCAATATTAGCCACTTTCAATGCAACATACCGAAAGAAAACGAACTATGCAAGATATTTTGTTGTATGCAGAACGCGTCAGGGTAGGATTCTATTGCATTGACACGCACTACTCAGCCCGTACTCTACACTGACCGGTGCGGCATAAACAATCAGAGCTGCAGTAGGCCTATATGCAAATAGACCATTGCAATATATGGATCTGGGCCATTTACTTTGAACTGGACTGTGTTTATAGCATGAGCAGTCGTGAGTGGATGCGCTTGTTTTGAGATCAAAGCGAGAGCTGCACGAAGCCACGTGAACATTTTGTTCATATCCTTTGCTAGTTAGTGAGTTATTAGCCCAGTTATATATCATTTGTAGTCAGCAATAGGGGACTGATTGCTTCCTACAAGAGCACAAAACGTACACGTTTCTAGACATCTTTGAAAAGCAAGTATATATATTTTTTGTCTTAAAGGGGCAGTGTTGTATTTTGAGACAGGGTTTTATAAGCTAAGTAGCCAATAGGCAGAGGGAAGCATAATTTGTCTGATTCTCTGTAATAATGGTATGGGAACAATAATGCATTTTATTTAGTAAAGTGGTTTCTTGCATCAAACAACATTTTTCAGTCACCTCCTTGTCTGAAGGACAAGTGGATAAACAGGTTAGTGTCAAGCCCTGCATGGTTTTTTCTTTTCTCATGGAATGTAGGCCTACATTGAACACCACACATTGGCTGCTACTGTAGGCTGAATGATAGAACAGCTATTTCCATGTTAAAATGTTATGGGATGCATTTTCTCCATTGTTTTTGATGGTATGCCACTCTGGTAAGCCTACATTATACAGGACCTCCTGCCCCCACCTAACGCAACTGCGTCAAACCCTCCTTACGGAGCCTCCGGATCGCATTGCCAGAGCAAGCATAAATTGGCTTAACTGCGTTGGAGCTGTCAAATCGGTGAGCAGCTGATCTTGATCATTGTCACGAAGCCACACCCATCCCACTTGCCTTAGAAGTTCTGAACGAGAAAGTGTAGGCTATATAGAAATAATGACGCTAAAATAAAACAAATCATTAAACTAAATAATGAGGATTTCTATCAGCCTAACAGAGGTGGATTACATCTCACATTCCAGTGTTCGAACTTGTAAACAAGGCCGCATGGGATTTCTCTTCATGCGATTGTGCAGCCAATGGCAACGTCCGCTTTATGTATAATGCCAGGAGCTGCTTGTGGATTTGACAGCTCTAACGCAGTTCTACCTCCTACACTGCCAAAACAACCGCTTTGTAGATGTCAGCTAAAGCGGATATGATTGTATAGAACCCCAAGTTTCATTTTGGATTCATTTTGGATTCAGCTACTACAGCGTTGTAAATGTGCTAGCGTTAGCTTAGCTGGGACTCACCTTCAAGGTTGATGAGGAAACTGCCCTTGCTGATGAGGGCATCGGCAGGTATATCTCTGGGCAGGGCGCTGGTCAGGGTGGTCCGCGATGACATCATCAGCTCTGTTAGCTGGGAGTAAGAGGAAGTAGGTTCATCTTGGAGGGACTGAGAAAGCGAGAGATTAGATAGGTACAGTTAGTGGTAGCCAACTTGGCGTCGCCTTCCTGAGACCTGAAAGTGTCACTTCCATACATGTGGAGGACATCAGAGTGCATTCTGCCCCCTTACCTCAATGAGTTCAAACAGTAGGCCAGGCTCAATCTCTATGGTCAGCTCATACTCAGCTGCGTTGCGTCCTGGGATAGAGGACAGGAAGGAATCCCTGATAGCGCATGCCCCCTCCACGGCTTCCTCCAATCCCGGCCTACGCCACACAGGACTGCTCTTAATCCAGCCACTCCTGAACAGGGTCTCCCCCTCTGAAGATACAGAGACTTTCAGAGTCATTGAGACTGATACACACACTCAGACAGGTGCACGCACACACACGGCCGTACCGTTATGTCCTGGGGCGTGTAAGTAGACCTCCTCGGCCAGGTGAGGTAGGATAGGAGCGATGGAGCGCGTCACTCCGTCCAGAATCTCCTCTAGAACCGTCTGACAGGACCGCCGACCCAACGAGTCCTCAGGATCACAGTACAGCCTGGGAGAGGGAGAGAGCGAGAGAGTAGTCGTAACAGACTATTAATAGTGCCATATAGTAGTAATGACAGTGTAGTAGTTGTAGTGTTGTCGTAAGTGTAATAGAGGAGTAGTAGACAATGTAATAACAATAGTAGTAGTATTTAGCAAGAGTATCCGTACCTGTCCTTGATGATGCTGAAGTAGAACCTGGAGAGGTCTCTGGTGATGAAGGCTTGGAGTAGGCGGATGGCCCTGCCCGCACCAAAATCATTGTAGGCATCTGTCATCTTCATACTGTAGTCCCGTAGAAGGTGCAGTAGGTACTGGTCGATGTAGTGCATTTCTTTAGGGTCCACTGCCTGAGTACGAGGGTCAAAACCCTGCAGATTCCCCAGCAAGAACTTCAGGGTATTCCTCAACTAGAAAGACAAAAGGAGAAGTTATTACAGCAGTGCCAGTGTGGACAAGCAGGTAATGAGAGACTTTCACACAGATAGACATTTTTCAGACAGACTGACAGACCCATAGATAGTAGACACCATGAGAGACTCACCTTATTGATGCTGTCTCTGGCTGAGTTGAGCACGTTGGGGCCGATCTGGACCTCAGAGAAGACGTTGGACTCTGCCACCCACCAACGCAACACATCCACTCCATAGGCAGGAGACACACTGGGGTCCTGGGAGAAAGAGAGGGAAAGATATAGGAGATGAGAGGGGTAGGGTGAAAGCCTTTAAGGACTAACACTTATGTGTTTCTCCAGTAAGGGTGGGTCTCATCCACAGCCTCTCACCTTCCCCCCATGGATGACTGTATCGGGGTCTACTACGTTGCCTAAAGACTTAGACATCTTCTCTCCTTTCTCACTGATCACAAAGTCATGTATCATCAGAGCCCTGAGAGAGAAAGAATGAGAGAGAAAGTCATGAATACACATTTTCTTCTCTGGCTTTCTTACGGACACATTTACAGAAAACACTTAGATAGAAAAGTATTTTACTGACTTGTAGGGTGCCTTTTTCTGCACGGCGACACTGGTGAGCAGAGAGGACTGGAACCAACCTCCTATCTGGTCCTTCCCCTCCACATACACATCAGCCCTCAAGTCTGACTCAGAGAGATCGAGAGCGAGCGATAGAGAGCGAGTGGAAAAATATGTTTAGTTCTTTGCAGTGTTTTGTTCTTAACCAATTCATGCAAAAAGAGAGGAAAGACAGATGGTTAGTATCAGGGGAACTTCACTGACTTTGTCCACAGAGGTAGGAAAAGTCTAGAGCGACAGAGACCACAGCCACTGTTAGTGAGGACATTGAGACAATGCATGACAAGTATACCAAGATTGTGCAACCATGCCTTGACCAATGCCCTGTGTGAAAGTCCTCTGTAGCTCAGCTGGTAGAGCACGGCGCTTGTAACGCCAAGGTAGTGGGTTCGATCCCCGGGACCACCCATACACAAAAAAAAATGTATGCACGCATGACTGTAAGTCGCTTTGGATAAAAGCGTCTGCTAAATGGCATATTAAAGCAGTAGCGACAGACATTCCACCTTGGCCAGCCTTCAGAGAGACAGTACAGAAACGTTAAATGGCGAGGCAGCTTTCCAAAGCCACAGGGTACTGTAGAGGTTAGAGAGAGGCTTGGATACTGTAGTGCTCCTGCCTTAGACAGTAGCACAGGTACAGACACCAGGCTTTCAGGGGGACATCCTCCCTTGCTGCCAAAGAGAGACAGACTGCTGACTAGACAGAAAGAGTGCAGTTAGGGAGTGAATCCTGAAAGAGAACCAATCCTTAAGGTGCTCAGCTCCCAGACAAGGTGCTCAGAGTCAAACATACTGAGGAGAAGGGAAAGAGAGCGGTAGAGTCAGACAGAGAGAGAGTCAGAGAGAGAGAGAGTCAGAGAGAGAGAGAGAGTCAGAGAGAGAGAGAGTCAGAGAGAGAGAGAGTCAGAGAGAGAGAGAGAGTCAGAGAGAGAGTCAGAGAGAGAGAGTCAAAAAGAAAGATAAATAGAAAAAAGGAAATAGAGAGAGGAGATGGAGGCAGTAAAAGAGGGATGAGTAGAGGAGGGGTCTGGGGGCGTGAGTAGAGGAGGGGTCTGGGGGCGTGAGTAGAGGAGGGGTCTGGGGGCGTGAGTAGAGGAGGGGTCTGGGGGCGTGAGTAGAGGAGGGGTCTGGGGCGTGAGTAGAGGAGGGGTCTGGGGCGTGAGTAGAGGAGGGGTTGGGGGGCGTGAGTAGAGAGGGGTCTGGGGGAAAATGGGTCTGGGGGGCGTGAGTAGAGGAGGGGTCTGGGGGCGTGAGTAGAGGAGGGGGTCTGGGGGGGTGTGAGTAGAGGAGGGGTCTGGGGGCGGGTGTGTAGAGGAGGGGTTAGGGGGGGGGTGTAGAGGAGGGGTCTGGGGGGGGTTGTAGAGGAGGGGTCTGGGGGGGGTGTAGAGGAGGGGTTGGGGGTGAGGAGGAGGAGGGGTTGGGGCGGGTGTGTAGAGGAGGGGTCTGGGGGGGTGTTTTAGAGGAGGGGTCTGGGGGGGGGGTGTGTAGAGGAGGGGTATGGGGGAGGGTTTTGGGAGAGGAGGGGTCTGGGGGGGGTGTGTGTAGAGGAGGGGTCTGGGGGGGTGTGTAGAGGAGGGGTTGGGGGGTGGTAGAGGAGGGGTCTGGGGGCGTGGAGTAGAGGAGGGGGTTGGGGGTTGGAGTGAGTAGAGGAGGGGTTGGGGGCGTGAGTAGAGGAGGGGTGCGGGGAGGGTGAGTAGAGGAGGGGTCTGGGGGGGTGAGTAGAGGAGGGGTCGGGGGGGCGGTGAGTAGAGGAGGGGTCGGGGGGCGTGAGTAGAGGAGGGGTCGGGGGGGCGTGAGTAGAGGAGGGGTCTGGGGGGTCGTGAGTAGAGGAGGGGTCTGGGGGGGCGTGAGTAGAGGGAGGGGGGTCTGGGGGGCGTGAGTAGAGGAGGGGTTCTGGGGGCTGTGAGTAGAGGAGGGGTCCTGGGGGCGTGAGTAGAGGAGGGGTCTGGGGGCGTGAAGTAGAGGAGCGGGTCCTGGGGGGTAAGTAGAGGAGTGGGTCATTGTGGCGGTTGGTAGAGGAGGGGTCTGGGGGTCGGGTGAAGTAGAGGAGGGGTCTTGGGGGCGTGAGTAAGAGGAGGGGTCTGGGGGCGTGAGTAGAGGAGGGGGTCTGGGGGCGTGAGGAGGAGGGTGGGGGCGTGAGTAGAGGAGGGGTCTGGGGGTCGGGTGTGTAGAGGAGGGGGTTCTGGGGGCGGGGTGTGTAGAGGAGGGGTCTGGGGGGTGTGTAGAGGAGGGGTCTGGGGGTGGTAGAGGATTGGTCTGGGGGGTGTAGAGGAGGGTCTGGGGGGGGTTGTAGAGGAGGGGTCTGGGGGGTGTGTATAGGAGGGTCCTGGGGGGTTGTTGTAGAGGAGTGGTCTGGGGGGGTGTGTAGAGGAGGGGTCTGGGGGGGGTGTAGAGGAGGGGTCTGGGGGGTGGTAGAGGAGGGGTCTGGGGGGGTGAGTAGAGGAGGGGTCTGGGGGGTGGGTGTAGAGGAGGGTCGGGGGGGTAGAGGAGGGGTCTGGGGGGGGTGTAGAGGAGGGGTCTGGGGGGGTGTAGAGGGTGGTGTGTGGGGGGGGGGGGGTGTAGAGGAGGGGTCTGGGGGGGTGTAGAGGAGGGGTTGGGGGGGGTGTAGAGGAGGGGTCTGGGGGGGTGTAGAGGAGGGGTCTGGGGGGGGTGTAGAGGAGGGGTCTGGGGGGGTGTGTAGAGGAGGGGTCTGGGGGGGTGTGTAGAGGAGGGGTCTGGGGGGGTTGTAGAGGAGGGGTCTGGGGGGGTGGGAGGGGTGGGGGGTAGAGGAGGGGTCTGGGGGGGTGTAGAGGAGGGGTCTGGGGGGGGTGTAGAGGAGGGGTCTGGGGGGGTGTGTAGAGGAGGGGTCTGGGGGGGTGTAGAGGAGGGGTTGGGGGGGTGTAGTAGAGGGGGTCTGGGGGGGTAGAGGAGGGTTGGGGGGGTGTAGAGGGGTCTGGGGGGTGTAGAGGAGGGGTCTGGGGGGTGTAGAGGAGGGGTCTGGGGGGTGGTAGAGGAGGGTCTGGGGGGGGGTGAGAGGAGGGGTCGGGGGGTGTAGAGGAGGGGTCGGGGGGGTGTAGAGGAGGGGTCGGGGGGGTGTAGAGGAGGGTGGGGGGGTGTAGAGGAGGGGTCGGGGGGGGGTGTAGAGGAGGGTCTGGGGGGGTGTGTAGTAAGGAGGGGTCGGGGGGTGTTGGGGGTGTAGAGGAGGGGTCTGGGGGGGGTGTAGAGGGGGTCGGGGGGGTGTAGAGGAGGGTCTGGGGGGATAGGGAGGGGTCTGGGGGTGTAGAGGAGGGGTCTGGTGGGGGGTTGGGGGGTTATAGGAGGGGTCTGGGGGGATGAGTAGAGGAGGGGTCTGGGGGGGTTGGGTTATTAACCTGGCACCAGGGGTCTGGAGGGATGAGTAGAGGAGGGGTCTGGGGGGGGTTGGGTTATTAACCTGGCACCAGGGGTCTGCGTAGGGAGGTAGGGAGCCAGCTGAGCCGTGACTCAGAGTCAGTGTCACTCTCCTTCTTCATCTCTGAAAACACAACACAACCACTCACATGGACAACATGGATAAACCTTGGGAAATGATGTGGTTTACATGTGTCTGTATGTTGGATGTCTGTCTTGCCAAATGACACAACAGGAACAATATTCAAACAGATTCAAGTCTTCATTATCTGACTATAAAACACTTATGTAAGGAGGTTTCACAGTGTGTCCAGAGGGGGATGAAGCTAATTGCTGATGTAAGAGGACTAGACACGCTTCATAAGAGATAGAAGTAATTGCTAATGCATAAGCAATTCACGATAAGCCATGTGCCAGAGAGAGATAGCATTACCAGGCAGTTTGTACAGTATTCATTAACTGCTTAGTGCAGTAAGGACACTTAGCATTACTGGCTGTGTGAGCATAGGTAGGCACTTAGCAAATTGTGATTTAGCTAGGCCTAGCTAAGAAGACTACCTTCAGACACAGCCTTGAATTCTAAGAGAACACAAGTGTAATCGTTAGTGTAAGAATACTTGGCAGCAGTAGTATGTAGCTTTGCCAGGTTAGCTAACACTGAGCCTCACCTTCAAGAACAGCAGCCCAGGAGGTTCCACTGTCAAACCAGATGTCCAACACATCTTCTCCACGCTCGTAGTCGGTTACCTCTCCTGCTTTACTCTGACACACACACACACACGTTAACCTTCACACGCAAGGTGCTAAAATCATCTCTTAATCATACAACCATATTCAATGACTTGCGAGTGAAAGTAGCAGTGACTCACCTTCTTGAGCACCTCTGGGGGCAGTAGAGATTCCAGGGGCAGCTCCCACCAGCAGTCACTGCCCTTCTCTGAGAAGAGCTGGGCCACATGGGATACAGTGTGCCTGTAGGGGGAGAGTGCAGGGGTCAGAGCTGGGTGGTGTTGTGTGTGTGTGTGTGTGAATGTTTGTGTGTGTAATTACTTGTTAATGAGAGGCTCTCCTGTCTCCTTGTGGTAGAACACAGGTATAGGCACACCCCAGCTCCTCTGGCGTGAGATACACCAGTACGGTCTTCTGTCCAGGTGGGCCAACAGACTGCCCCTCGCCGACTCTGGGATCACACGCACCTTAGCCAGCACTTCCTACACACACAGTCAGAAAGAGTTTCTTAATCCTCTAGAGCAGGGTTCCCCAACTGATTTTATTTGGCTCCCCAAGTTTTCTGAGCAGAAATCGAATCAATGTTTTAGTCAAATATTATATTTGTTTGGGCTTCTTGCAGTCTACAAATGATTTGTAATCCAACCCCCTGACTATCCGCTAAAGAAAATAAAAATATATCCGGCAGCTGAATCTAGTTGATCCCTGCTCTAGACTAGAGGAAGTCTTATTGAGTGGGACCTTTTCTAAGTGTTTGAGATTTAGAATCATCACCTGTTTGAAAGAATCATTTTCAATGTATCGCAGTGAGAACTGAGAATCATTGACTGTTTGTAAGAGTGATCCTCAGTGTGTGATTCCTACCTTGGCCTTGTCTTTGAGGCTGGCGATGTTAATGAACCACTGTTTGCTGGGTCTGATGACTACAGGCTCTTTACTCCTCCAGTCGTACGGGTAACTGTGGACACACTCCTCCTCCTTCACTAGAGAACCGACCGCCTTCAGCATGGAGATCACTGACATGCACAGAAAACACACAAAAGCTTGTACAAAGAGAGCAAGAAGTTGAACTAGACAATATAAGTTAAGCATTCTCCTCCCTGTCGCTCACACACAGTTTCTTCCTACCTGTATCGTTGCCCTCCCCCATCACAGACTGACTCTGTAGCTCAGGCCCAGCCAGCTCAGTGAACCGGCCTTCCTCATCCACGATACACTCCTAGAACAGAGCAACCACACACAGCCGTACAAATTAGGGATGGGTATTTGAAATGATTTTACTATTCAAATAATAATCATGACATTTAGATATACGGATAGTCGAAATTATCATTTTTATTTAAAGAATTACACACAAAAAATGCTACTGACTCTCGACCAATCAGAACGACACAAATGTACACGGCAGAGGTAAACAGCAGACATGCTGCTTTTCTTCGGTAGTTTGGCAAACAGCAACAGTGAAAGAGAAGTCTGATTTTCGCTAAGATAACCTTTTTGTAACAATCAGTTCTTTCTGGTGAGTGTTTTGTATTGATCTGTGTCAGGTATTGTGGAAACTCTTAGATGAGCGCCTGTAATTGCTATTTAAAGTGGGGAAAATAGCATACGATTAACCCCAGGAAGAGATTGGACCCCAGGATGAGTAGCTGCTAATGGGGATCCTTGATAAATAGAAATACAAACCGTGCCCATCTCTAGAACAAATGTCATTGGAAGTTCATAAAGACTTACAAACTTTTAGCCTGGAAGCCAGAATGTTTCTGAAGTTGGCTTATCAGAAACAGACTGGCATCCAAGTTGGTGAACTCATACTGTTCTGTCAATCACAATTGATATATTAGTCAACTAAAGGAACGCACCACTGACAGTTTAAAGTGCGAGGCCACACTGTAGTCCTCCATCCCATGGGCAGGAGCTGTGTGGACCAATCCCGTTCCTTTGCCCATGGTCACAAAATTAGCTGGAAGCAATGGAACCTCCTTCCTGGGAATGGTGGGATGCTGGCAGACTCCTCCCTCAAGTTCTGCACCTGGAGGTGGGGATGGGAAGAGAACGTGACAGAATGACAGGTGACAAGACAATGTGTCTGTCTGAGTGTGTGTGTGTCCAGTTTACCTGTGAAGGTGCCCACACTCTCCAGCTCTGTGCTCAGCAGAGTTGTCAGGCTGGAAACGCGCTCAGTGGCCACTAGGAGGAGCTGTGAGCTGTCTGCCCTCTTCACTACTGAGTACCTGTGGGTGAGATATTATAACACATTTACAAAAGATGGGAGATGTATCGTATGGCACTGAAGGTGCAGGTATGTGTGTGGGGGTTGTCTGTTAACAGTGCCACTTACTGGGCATTGGGCATAAAGCAGACAGCCTGGTTGGCTGGGATGGTCCATGGTTGGGTGGTCCACACCAAAACAGAAATGCTGCCCAACTCCCCTACAGCTTCCGCCATCTTAGGCGGCAGGGTGACCAGGGTGAAGGTGGTGTAGATTGCCTTGCTCACGTGCTGTGGGTTATACTCTAACTCTGCCTCCGCAAGAGCAGTCCTGGGGAGAGAGAGAGAGGGGAAGAATTAGAGGTGAGGAGGAGGACAATGAAAGGAGGGGTGAGGGCGGAGATATGCAGCAGAGATACACTAAAAGTACGTGGACACCTGCTCATCGAACATATCATTCCAAAATCATGGGCATTAATATGGAGTTGGTCCCCCCCCCCTTTGCTGCTATAACAGCCTCCACTCTTCTGGGACGGCAGGTAGTTTAGTGGTTAAGAGCGTTGTGCCAGTAACCGAAAGGTCGCTGGTTCTAATCCCCGAGCCGACTAATTGCTCCTGTAAGTCGCTCTGGATAAGAGCGTCTGCTAAATGACTAAAATGTAAAAATGTAAGGCTTTCCACTAGATATTGGAACATTGCTGCGGGGACTTGCTTCCATTCAGCCACAAGAGCATTAGTGAGGTCGGGCGCTGATGTAGGGCGATTAGGCCTGGCTCGCAGTCGGCGTTCCAATTCATCCCAAAGGTGTTCGATCGGATTGAGGTCAGGGCTCTGTGCAGGCAAGTCAAGTTCTTCCACACTGATCTCAACAAACCATTTCTGTATGGACCTCGCTTTGTGCACAGGGGCATTATCATGCTGAAACAGAAATGGCCTTCCCCAAACTGTTGCCACAAAGTTGGAAACACAGAATCGTCTAGAATGTCATTGTATGCTGTAGCGTTAAGATTTCCCTTCACTGGAATTAAGGGGCCTAGCCCGAACCATGAACAACAGCCCCAGACCATTATTCCTCCTCCACCAAACTTTACAGTTGGCACTATGCATTGGGGCAGGTAGCATTCCCTTGGCATCCGCCAAACCCAGATTCGTCCGTCGGACTGCCAGATGGTGAAGCATGATTAATCACTCCAGAGAACGATTTTCCACTGCTCCAGAGTCCAATGGCGGCGAACTTTACACCACTCCAGCCGACGCTTTGTATTGCGCATGGTGATCATGATTACTAATCAAATCATTTCTAAACAGTAGGTTTTGTTATCTGCAAAACAAACCTTTTTTATTTTTGTACTTATGTATTGTATATTGATTTTTTGTGGTGTGGTTTTCATATCAGCCCCTGGGCTTCCAACCACACCCGTTCAAAAAAAAAGTTGTTTTTATCTGTATTGTTGTCTATAACTTGTTTTCTTTGGTGCAAATAAATTAAACATAAACCTCTTAGGCTTGTGTGCAGCTAATCGGCCATGGAAACTTAATTTCATGTAGCTCCCAACGAACAGTTCTTGTGCTGACGTTGCTTCCAGAAGCAGTTTGGAACACGGTAGTGAGTGTTGCAACCGAGGACAGACAATTTTTACGCACTATGCACTTTAGCACTTGGCAGTCCCGTTCTGTGAGCTTGTGTGGACTACCACTTCGCGGCTGAGCCGTTGTTGCTCCTAGACGTTTCGACTTCACAATAACAGCACTTACAGTTGACCGGGGAAGCTCTAGCAGGGCAGAAATTTGACAAACTGACTTGTTGGAAAGATGCCACGTTGAAAGTCACTGAGCCCTTCAGTACGGGCCATTCTACTGCCAATCTTTGTCTATGGAGATTGCATGGCTATGTGCTCAATTTTATACACCTGTCAGCAACTACTGTGGCTGAAATAACTGAATCCACTAATTTGAAGGGGTGTCCACATACTTGTATATGTGGAAGAGCTATGTAGCAGAGACTATATCCAGGAGACACTCAGTGCTGCCTACCTGGAGGAAGGAGACCAGAATACTGGCTTGTAGTCCTGGTAGATCAGGCCCTAGAAATTACAACAAAAGAACAAACAGTTAGCTCCTGAAAGATCTTCTGGAGAGGCAGGCTGTCCCAAATTGAATAGAATATATCCCACCTTGCTGTGCATGTCCTGGAAGACATTAAGCTGAGCTGCCTCATAAGTCCCATCAAAGGTGTAGTAGCACTTATCCCAGTCCGCCATCACTCCCCAGCGCTGGAAGGCAGCGCGCTGACGAGCGATAGCCCCCTCCGCAAACTCCCGAGCTGGAGAGGAGAGCAGAGGGACCAGAGTTTATCAACAGACACACACAGCTGACTTTCTGGTGTCATACTTACACAGTGGTCCTCTGTAGCTCAGCTGGTAGAGCACGGCGCTTGTAACGCCAGGGTAGTGGGTTCGATCCAGGGGACCAACCATACACAAAAATGTATGCACACATGACTGTAAGTCGCTTTGGATAAAAGCATCTGCTAAATGGCATATTATATTATGTTATATTATATCAGATTCTATTCAATCAATAGGCAGAGTTGTTTTGGTGTTTCAGTGAGACCTGAATATTTGTGTAAGCTCCAAAAGCGAATGCCTACGCTTTTAACAGCCTACGCTTTCAGCTCAATAGGCGAACATGATCCTAGCTGGGTCTCGCTGGCGACCTGGGTTTGATACCTAGTCAGTTCCATCCATCCACAATAAGCGACCAGTAATGTATCAGCTGTCTGTTTCCTGCCCCACTGACCTTTCTGTCTTATCTGCAGAGGGCTCAGTCCACTGGTTCCTAGCTCTCCCAGTGCCTTCAGCTCGATGGGCAGCCCGTGGCAGTCCCAGCCTGGGACATAGTGGACCTGTTTCCCCCTCAGCATCTCAAAGCGGTTTTGGATGTCTTTGAGGATCTGGAACACACAACACCAAAGAAGCATTATGATAAGGCCTTGTTTTGCCAGTGAGAGCTAGTACTGATTAATCTCTGTTCTGGTTTCAAGTCCAGTTGAGAAATATTGTACAGCTGGATTCTCTGCTAAATGACTAAAATGTAAACGTAGTAAATAACAACACCTTATTGAGGGCATGTCCCACATGTGGGTCCCCATTGGCGTATGGGGGGCCATCGTGGAGACAGTATTCCTTCTTGGCCTTCCTCTCTCTCTGCCATGAGTAGAGCTCTGCAAAGCCACACTCCTAGACACAGACAGAATCAATATAGTCTTAAGTCATAACACAGGCACATAGTTGAATTTCAGACACCGTCTCATGGAGAAAGGCCTAGTTAGCTAACCTATTGTTTGTTTTTCTGACATTTCTTAGCAATCGGTCACACGCCTGTTTCAAAACATGTGGCTCACTGGTAAGCTAACTAGCTATCTATATAGCTAACTTGTTAGTATGACATTAGCTAGCTAGACCAGAGCGCTCTTCTTACCTGTTGTATCTGTACCTCCCGATCTATGAGTTTCTGTCCGGTTAGTTTCATGGGGAATTCAGTGCGGGGAAGCAACACACTGTCGCGGTACGGCCCCGCTCCCTGGGCGGCTGCAGGGTGAACACTGCCTTCGGTGGAGCTGACATTTCGACAACGGCTGGAGTTGAAGGAGAGTGCGGGGTGGAGTAGGGCGCCTCTCGGAACACTCGTTCCCCATCTCGCTAGGCTCTGGCTCACTGCTGAAATGCGGCACAGCAGCATGGAGAGGCAAGCACTTCGTACTATTCTACCTACCAAAATTCTAAACAAAAAAAAGAGCGTTTGGTTGGTTTATTGTTGTGATATTGTCCTCGATCTGACTGCGACCTCTTACAGCACTGGATCGTTTTTTCTTGTTTTCCGGAAGTACTGGATGTAAAAAACTACTACGGAAACTGTAAAGGGACAAATTAGTTGTCATTGTGGTAAATAGTTTATATTTACCACAAGAGGTCACTATAAGACCTGTTTTTGTGTAAAACATTTATTTGCCGTTTATCAGCAGAATATTCCATAATAGCTATAGGCCTAGTGTAGAAAATGTCCCCATTATGTTCAGGGAGGACAACCGTGATCACTAACCGTGATCTATAGGCCTAAACAATACCGTGATTAAAAACACAAAGGCTATTATTTGAATTGCTGACAGTATAACCCAAAGATGCTGTAAAGCACGTGTCAAACTCATTCCACGTAGGGGCCGAGTGTCTGCGGGTTTTCGCTCCTCCCTTGTACTTGATTGATGAAATAAGGTCGCTACACTAATTAGTAAGGAACTCCCCTCACCTGGTTGTCTATGTCTTAATTGAAAGGGAAAAAACTGAAACCTGCGGACAGTAAGCCCTCCATGGAATGAATTTGACAACACTGTTGTAAAGGAAGAGGTCTCCTTGGTGTGGTTTATGGCAGGGTTTCCCAAGCTCCCCCCCCCCCCCCCCCCCCCTTTTGGTTCAAATAATCAAATATTCAAATAATCAACGCTTGCTAATGAGTTAGTTATTTGAATCAGCTGCATTGTGCGAAGGCAAAATCATTCGCACACTGCAGGATCAGGTCACATTCGGTGGGGATATAAAATCCCCTGGATTTGTACTCTAATCATTTACCGTGAGAGAAAAATAGCCAGAACAGTTACACTCCTCACCTATTTGAGGCTGAGAAAAAAACAAAAAAATGACTAAAATGGTGATTGCCTACATTGGCTTCCTTCTCCTTGCCATGCATTTGTCATCACAAGTAAGAACTTTTCTTCTGAAATGATATACTCTTTGCCATGTTTGAGTTGTAAAATGAACCCACTTTATTTAATTACACTAGGCCTACCCAACATTCTGGGGAATGGACTAGGCATTTCAACAGGTGTAATAGCATAGGCTATTCCATATGGTTTACAGAAACGGGTTCTCATCGATATGCAGATAATTGGCCTCGGGTGTTGTCAGTCTGACGTGTAAAACTCTAACTTGCCTTAATTTGAGACGAGTGCAATGTGAAACAGTAATGCCTCCCTTCATATACTGAATCGCTAATAAAGTTGACCTACTTCAAGATCCATAGGCTAATGTAGTTTGGCTATGGGAAACTGCCTCTCTCACAAGGTGATTGCACTTAAAAATGTAGTCTTAAACATATTGCCATAGGGCTACTAACTTTACACATTAGTTTTTTGCCCTCTTGGATTTTGTCGGACGAAAGTGATTGAGATTTGTCAAGTTTCTTGAATTGTTTTTCATACTTGAAGTTTGTGGCCATTGACGCGCCCCTGTGCTCTCCTGTTTTAGGTCTACTCACAAAACATTGGGCGTAGGCCTACAACAAGGTCCCCGGCAGTGACTGTGAACACTACCAAAGTTGGCGGCGCGCGTTCCAATATGACCAAGTTACCCGATGTCACTACCACCAACATCACCATCCCCAAAGGAGCCTGCGTGTCCTTGGAGTCCAGTGCGTTTACGCTGTTCATTCCCATGGTGGCGGGCTCGCTTGTACAGGGCCGCTTATAGAGTGCTCATCTGCACTAAACGGACACCGCCACGAATAACATCGGCGGCACACTTTTTTTTAATACGTTCTGGAAAGGCAGCTATGTGCGTACCAAACCAGAGGGATTCGGTGGAATTGGAAGATTGAACGCGTGGACGAGAACCTTTCTTTCCACCGATGGGAATCATTTCAAACCAGTATAGGCAGGCGTACACTCCCTGCCTACTGACCCCAAGCCCTATGTTGTGGTCCCCTCCATGAAGGCAGGCCATGATGAGAATGTACTGAACTCTGCTTTGACTCTGTTGGTTCCTGTGTCCAGACAGCAGGGGGTTGTTTTGGACTGTTATGTAACTTCTGAAGTGTAAATGTTGGCTGTGCCTGGGAAATCAACTGCATATAATGAAATGTTGGTTGAGATGCATTGTGGAAATAACTTAACCTATCTTGTCTGATCTTGTGTGTAAGCGTTGCTTCCGTTCCCCTCCTTGCCCCAACCTGGGCTTGAACCGGTGACTCTGAACACAACTGCCTCCTACCGTTAACTAGCTAGCCTGCCTCCCACCGTTAACTAGCTAGCCACTTCGTACCGATAACACTGGATATTTCTACTCCTGAAACTGCAATGGATACTTTGTCAGAGGCTTGATGTACGTACCATTGTGATTTGTAGAGTGCAACTTCTCGGCATGTGATTTTAATTGTGTAAATCGGTGGTGTAATATGCTTAGATTATTTATTTTGTGTTGTCAGGTTCAATAAAGCTTTGACATGTACAAAAATGATATTCCATGTTGTACAATAAAATTAACAACCTTGACTGTTTTTTTATTTTATTTATTTCACCTTTATTTAACCAGGTAAGCCAGTTGAGAACAAGTTCTCATTTACACCTGCGACCTGGCCAAGATAAAGCAACGCAGTGCGATAAAAACAACACAGAGTTACATATGGGGTAAAAAACACAACGTCAAAAATGCAACAGAAAATATATATACAGTGTGTGCAAATGTAGCAAGTTATGGAGGTAAGGCAATAAATAGGCTATAGTGCAAAATAATTACAATAGTATTAACACTGGAATGCTAGACGTGCAAGAGATTGTGCAAATAGAGATACTGGGGTGCAAAATAAATAACAATATAGGGATGAGGTAGTTGGGTGGGCTGTCAATTCTATAACTTGTTTACTGTCCAAAATGGAAGTCCTTATTTTAGCATGGTGTGTAGGAATATGACATTTGTCTTAATTTTTTGCCATCAACTAAAATGACTCGTGCTGGGTCTCTGCCATGAGTGGCTGGCTGCGAGTAGAGCTACTTTGGTAGCCTTGTGGCCGACAACTCAAGCTTAATTTTCATGACACTTTGAACATAGGCCTTTGCTTGTAGGCTGCTGCACTACATGGCCAAAAGTATGTAGACACCCCTTCAAATGAGTGGATTCGGCTAGTTAAGCCACCTGTTGCTGACGAGTGCATAAAACTGCATGGCTGTGCTCGATTTTAAAATATATAATACAAATATATTGGCAGTAGAATGGCCCGTACTGAAGCGCTCAGTCACTTTCAATGTGGCACCGTCCTAGGATACCACCTTGCCAACAATCTGTTAATTTCTGCCCTGCTAGAGCTGCCCCGGTCAACTAAGTGCTGTTATTGTGGAGTGGAAACGTCAAAAAGCAACAATGGCTTAGCCGCGAGGTGGTAGGCCACACCCCGAGGTAAAGACAGTTTCAGGCTGGATATTTGCGCTTTTGAGCCACAGACTCATGTGTCATGACATTGGACAAATTGCGCACAACATTGCATGTCTTATTTTCACAATTTCGACAATTCGCTTTCCAAAGCTAATAAACGTGGAAATGTGAGCAGCATTTCTAGTTGAAATAGTTACGGAGCATAAACAATGTATAAACTTTTTTTTACATTCGAATTTCAATCGCGCCTTGGTCATGTGACCTGACCTCACAAGGTTCAGAATGTACACTCAGTGGGCCTACACATTGCACATCCTTTAGTTTGCCATTTTCATCTTGCGGTTTTACATGAATTTTTAAACGTTTTAAATTTCAATAGTTCCCTGGTCATGTGACCTACTACCCTAAAACATGCTTTAGATTGTCCACTCACTATGCCTTCATATCCCACACTCACGACGCAGGATATTCGATGGTCCCTACACTCCTTTCTAACAGTCCTCAAGCTTCGATAGGATGGTCTTTTGTGTAACTGTTGAAATTCAGAGTTAATGTTATAATTTTTTGTACGTCTTGTGGTCGGTCATAAAATGTCTTGAGTTTCTTGCTTTCTCAGGTCCTGCTGAGTGGACGGTATTGATGCCTTTTCAGTCTGGCTCCAGTCAGGTGTCATTAGGTTATAAGCACCAGGCCACCCACCCTCCCGTTTCATAACACCCTCTCACCTTCTACCATTTGTCTACACTCCAACAACCATGAGAGCTCTCTAGCTGTAGATGCCCCCAGATCCATGACAACTGAGATTTCCATATCCATGGCCTTCCTCCCAGTGACACCCTCATGCCTATTAACCTGACAGGAAGGATGGGTAAAGACCCATGTGGCCGCACAATACAAATTGAATATCGGGGCCAGTTTGTCTGTGACCCCTGCAGAGATAATATGTACTGTATTGTAACACTACCTGCAGGATCGTTTTGTTCTGTATGCAAAAGTGCTGACATGCCCTGTGTTTCTTTGATGGCTGACTATAAAGATTGCCACGTTTTCTTACCAGATCAGAGATACTTCGGTAGAGGGTATATGCTCTGCCAATTTGTCTGTCCATTTAGGAATGTTGTGTGTACTTGTGCAACAAAATCCAGAACTCAACCTGAAGCTTTTCTCCAAAATACTTTTCTTTGTTCTTTCTAAACCTGTAAACTTTCACATCTGAGTATTTGCGGTAATCTTCTTTTGTCATAAATGATTAATTATTCTATATTACATTTTTTAAAATAAAAGTTAGATACACAACTAACAATGACATAGTAGGCCCATCTTCACCTGTAACTACATTCAACTTTTACAAGGTAATAATAAGAAATACACTAATAAATTATTTTCAGATGCTTACATTTGTGTGACTATCTTAGAGGGAATCCTTTTGTCTTAGAAGAAAACTAGAATTCCTGAAGTGTTTTATGAGTAATTTAGAATGTCTATATGACTGATTTTTCCCTTGGGAAAGCTATCGAGGTTAAGGACAACATGGTCTTTGATAAGATGACAGAGACGCACATTTGCCCAGCCCAGTAAGCAAATGGTCAACTGGAGACAGCAAGTCTTTTTGCCGCCAGACAGATAACAGTTTCTATTGCTGAATGATAAAGGCACTGTCATGTAAAAAATCTGGCAATGTTTATAGTCAACGAACAAAGCAACACAGGTTCTTCTATTATGAATATTCTTTAACAATATGCTTGAACCCGATGCTTTTACCCAGTCGGACTGGAGACCGTGCTTTTCCATGTTAATGTAAACAGCTATCTGTCAAATGGCCCACATAAACTATATAGTCTGAAGCTTCAATGAAGCTTCAATGTAGCTTGTAGGTCTAAAAGCGTTTTTGTCCTTACTATGTTGAAATATCAAAGACTAAGCTTTTTGTGTGACTCTGGTAAGTCATTTCAAGTCGAAAAGCCTTGTTTTCCCTGGTAAAAAAACATATACTACTAACTAGTTCTGTTTAATTTGACTTTGCAACATAAGAATCTTGTTGGCAGCGATAAAAACACTCACAGCTGTATGAATGTTAATAAAGAAATACTACAGCTCAGTGCTATGGTAAATGTTAAGTCAACTGTGGGATATGGACAGTAGAGGGGGATGCTGTGGCAGTGACAGTAGAGTCATCACTATTTTCTGGACTTGTTTTTGGATGAGGGTCACATCACTGGAGAATAACCTGGTTCTGGTCCAGATGTACTGGACTCATTTGCCTGAGGGTGGCCTCTAAAAGAGTAAATACACTGTACAGTTGGCCTATGACATCAGCTCATCTACTGTTTAATATATTATTGTGGGCCATAACTACTTGAGGCTTATAAGGGCTGCCCACACAGGGCCAAACGTGTTGGGTCACGCATCTGGCAATGAGCGAAATGCATTGGTCCCAGGGCATTGCTTATATACAGACAAACATAAATAAAACGCTCCTACTTATCTCCCTCTAACAAGTAACCCTGATCCACATGACCATCCTTTCATATTAGATTATGGCAATGTCATTTCTAGAACTGCAGGGAATGGTGCTCCTGAGGGCCTTCATGCTCTGTATATCTGCCAACTTTGCCATCAACACTCTGCACAAGATCACTGCAATTTATGTTTGCTTGTTCACTGGTCATCCTTATGCACTCCATGCAATACTTGCTGCTGTTTGTAATAGTTATTGTCATGTTTTTGTCCACATTTGTTTGGAACTACATGTAACTGTCCTTTGTACCTAGCGCATACAGCTGCATGGTACTGTGACTTTAGTTGTCATGTTGTCCACTAAGCTGGTTGTTGTTAGTCTAAAGCATACTTTTAGAAGTTTGTTTAATATTTGCATTTGTCACCCAGCTCTTTATTTATTTTTTATTTATTTTGGGGGGTAGATCAGCTTTAATATTGCAGATAGATTGTAACTTCCATCAATGTAATTGTCTGCATCACCTCCAATCCCCCGTATGTTTTTTTTCTCTCGCATATATATATACAGTGGGGGAAAAAAGTATTTAGTCAGCCACCAATTGTGCAAGTTCTCCCACTTAAAAAGATGAGAGAGGACTGTAATTTTCATCATAGGTACACGTCAACTATGACAGACAAATTGAGAAAAAAAAATCCAGAAAATCACATTGTAGGACTTTTAATGAATTTATTTGCAAATTATGGTGGAAAATAAGTATTTGGTCACCTACAAACAAGCAAGATTTCTGGCTCTCACAGACCTGTAACTTCTTCTTTAAGAGGCTCCTCTGTC